GGGAAGGTGTGTAAGTGTTAGTCGTGTGGGGATGCCCCCTCACGGGGGCGTACGTGTCTTTTGGTGTATTTGTCTGTCTGGTATATTGTTTGTCGGGGGTCGCAATTTTAAAGAAATGTATTCTAAAGTAATGAAAATAACTGATAAATAAGTAAAAACTTACCTGGGCATAACCCCGGCACAGGTGCTGTAACAAAGATGCCGACGGCGTCTATGCTTAAGCCGGGGATTAGGTCGGTGATTAAAAGGAAAGAAAGGGATTCTTTCCAGGTAGCCTTAATAAAGGCAGGTAGAATTTGCTCCTTGCACTACACTTTCACAAAACACGTGTGCTCTGGTCGGCTGCCCGCTAGGAACTCGATCCATGGGAGCGGCTCAGATAAAATTTCAAGCAAAGTTCTCTTCCATTGTTCACGGTCTATGGTTAATGTTTCATTCTGAATTCTGGAAATATTACAGTTCTTTGAGTTCTTTGACATTTCTGCTGAAATAAATTTAGTGGTTACAACAAACTAATTTTACATTTTCGGCTTCATTTTTAAACAATAATAAGTATATAATTGAATTTTTGAGGGAGCGAGATCAAAATATATTATTTTCCTAATAATATAGTAGGGGCGGTCATTTCATCATGACTGCTTTTGAGGGTAAAAATTCAAGTTTTAATTTAATTCCTTGCTGATAATTTTTTTTTAGAATTCGGTGTCCTTCCGGAAATTGCAAAAGCCATAGAAGAGTTGGAATGGACGTAAGTGTATGAGGTGAACTATAAATTTTTCATATTCATGTTTGTTATCAATTTAGATTACCCACGGATATCCAAGCCGAAGGAATACCCTTGGTACTAGGAGGAGGAGATGTCTTAATGGCCGCAGAAACGGGAAGCGGTAAAACCGCCGCGTTCTGTTTGCCAATTATACAGATTGTATGGGAAACTTTGAAGGATATACAGTCGGGGAAAGCGGCAAAAGCTGCCGCGGAGAGCTGTTGTAAGTGACAAAACAAATTAAATCGTAAAATGCATACCTATAGGGAGAAATCCACATTTATTTTTTTATGGTAGCTCCTCCGTGGACCATGTCAATATTGGATCGTGGTAACGCTTTAGCAGTTGCTCCTTGCGGCCTACGCGTTCAATCTAGAGAACAGAAAGAATGGCATGGGGTCAGGTGCACTCGTGGCGTAAACAGTGGCAAATGGGCATTCGAAGCCACTGTAACCGATGAAGGGTTATGCAGAGTTGGCTGGTCTAGTCTTCAAGCGAATTTAGATCTTGGTACCGACAGGTAAATTGAAAAATTGCGTTAAAAACATAAGTCTCTTTGGAGTTGTTTGTGTCCTCATTGTTTTGTATTAATTTCGGTAATGCAACTGTTCTCTTGAAGGAAGAATTGTTTGGGAAATCTTCAAGTTGCATTTTTAATTTTAATTTCTTTTAGATTTGGTTTTGGATTTGGGGGAACGGGTAAAAAATCCAACAACAAACAATTCGATAACTACGGCGAGGCGTTCGGTAAATGTGACGTGATCACTTGTCTACTTGACGCGGATAGTGGTGAGATCAGATTCTGTAAAAATGGCGTGGATCTAGGACGGGCTTTTACAGCCGACAAGAACTTGATCAGAAACGGAATGTTTCCAGCTGTCGTTTTAAAGGTACTGCACATTGAACGTATAAAATTCTTTAACGAACGAGGAATTTTTACAGAACGCAGAAATGGAATTCAATTTCGGAAACAAGGAGTTCAAGCATAGTTTACCGCAAGGCTATCAGCCGATAAATTCAGCATCTCACGATCAAGTTGTAACAAATTCGAACGGTCAAGGAGGTTCCGCCGGCAGTGCGCCTAAAATTGCCAATAACGCACCGCAAGCTATTATAATCGAGGTAAGATAATATTAATAGAATTTTTAAGCAATGATAAGAACGGAAATGAATGTCACGGTAGGCCTAAGGGTTCTATAACGGGTTCGCCGCCACAGAGCTTAGCCCGAGAACAACAAGATCAGGAAAAACATTGCGTAGTTCTAATAAATCAGTGTATTTGATTGTATCGTTTGTAAAATTTAAACTCCATTCTAGCCATCTAGGGAATTAGCGGAACAAACGAGCAACCAAATAAAAAAATTCAAGAAGTATTTGGAAGATCCCACTATTCGCGAATTGCTGGTAATCGGAGGAATAAACGTCAAAGAACAAATCTCGCATTTACAAAATATCGGTGCCGACATCATCGTCGGCACACCTGGAAGATTAGAAGACTTGATTCAAGGAGGTTAGTAACGCGAGGATCTTAATTGAATTCCTGCGCACCGTTGTGCTGTTTCAGGTTACTTGTCTCTGTCGAACTGTAGATTCTTCGTGCTGGACGAGGCAGACGGTTTGTTGAAACAGGGCTACACGGATCTGATCGAGAGACTGCATAAGCAGATGCCGAAAATAACGTCGGACGGGCGACGATTGCAGATGATTGTTTGCAGTGCGACACTACACGCTTTTGAGGTTAAGAAAATGGCGGTGAGTATTTTAATAGTAAAACGGGTTTTGTTTTATAAAGTAATTTTTCGTTTATAAACTTTACACTGTAGAGGTTCAATTTTTTTTTAAATAACTAGGAACGGGTGATTTTACCTTTAATTAGAGAAATCGCGAACCTACGTTTCATCATTCTGTAGCCAACATTTTCAGAATTGTTTTAGAAAATCTGACATTTTTCGTCAAATGTTTGTGTAATATTTTTAGCTGAAAATCATTTGTTCTTGAAACCAGTGGCTATTTTTTAAGCTTGAATCCATTACAATGCATTAGAGTAAAATTTCATCTGCTACTACTAGATATAGGTTTTATTCTAAATAATTTTCTTGACACATGATCTGGCAATGTAGAGTTTTGAGGGGGACATCTAATGGCGACCTTGACCATGTCCTTCAAGGACAAGTTGATTTTTTTAAATGGAAACATATTTTTGACACCAGAAATGAAAAGAACAGAAAATTGTACATCCGACTATGACCTTCACCATGACCTTCAAGGGCATTTGAAGGTCATTTAAGTTTTTTGTTGCAAAATTCATTTCCGTCTTGCCCAATAGTATACTCGGGGGTTTTTGAGGGCGCTGATCGAGAATATGAAGTCAGAATTCGAAAATATTCAAATCCGATACGGCCGACCAATTTTTGGTAAAAATTTTTAATATTCTTATGGATTAACACTGAAAATGCTTCAACCTACGTTGAAACTCAAGGTCGAGCCGAGTATTCGACATATTGGGTCCGCCGTATCGGATTTAACTATTACTAAATTCTGAGCTAGTCCGAGTTCAAAAACATTTGAATAAAGAATGCATGCCGCAAAGGGTTAATGGGTATTCTGGAAAATTATGGCGAGCCCCACATATAAAAAAGAAAAATACGAACAAGATTAAAGTTTTGCCTGCAAAATACTAGAATGACCTTCAAGTGACTTTTGAAACTTAAGGTCATGATCAAGGTTATATCCGGAAGCAAAATTCTCCGCACTTTCTATTTTGGTCTGAAAGATACCAGTTTCTATTTGAAAAATTAACTTGACATTGAAATTACCGCGAAGGTCAAGGTCATAGATGGACGTGAAACGGCTCGCTCTTCTTATTTCTGGTCTCAAAAGTAGGATTTTGCAACAAAAACTAAAATGACCTTCAAATGCCCTTGAAGATCCTGGTCAAGGTTATAGTCGGATGTAAAATTCTGTGCTCTTTTCATTTCTGGTCTCAGAAGTATGTGTTTCCATTTGAAAAACTCAACATAACCTTGAAATGACCTTGAAAGTCACGGTCATTAGATGTCCCCTCAAAACCCTACAACTTTTATTTGAAAATTTTTTCATTGAGCCCCTAAGAGATATTCACGTATATTTTTTAAAATGGGACACCCGGTATATATCGATAAATACTTGTAATAATTGAAAAATTGTTAAAAATGATCTGTCCTCAAAAATCCAACCAACGACTTACATTGTTTTTATGGAAACATTTTTAGGAGAAACTTATGTATTTCCCGACCTGGGTGGACCTGAAAGGCGAGGACGCCGTTCCGGACACCGTACACCACGTCGTGGTGAACGTGGACCCGCAAAAAGATAAGAGTTGGCACAACCTAAGACGGCACATCCTGACAGACGGCGTGCACGCCCAGGACAACGTCCGCCCGGGCAACAACAGTCCCGAAACCATGAGCGAAGCAGTGAAATTGCTGAAAGGTAATACCAGACCGTGTTTCATCGTCAGTAACTTTAATTTCTCGGCCGAATTCCAGGCGAGTACTGCATAAGGGCGATCGACGTTCACAACATGGACAGGGCGATCATATTCTGCCGCACCAAGGTAGACTGCGACAACTTGGAGAAGTACATGAAGCAGTTGGACAGGAACAGGTACTCGTGCGTCTGCCTCCACGGAGACAGGAAGCCGAACGAGCGGAAAGCCAACCTGGAGCAGTTCAAGAAGGGAAGCGTCAAGTTTTTGGTTTGTACCGACGTGGCGGCTAGGGGGCTCGATATTACCGGATTGCCGTTCAGTAAGTACGATTTATCGGCGGTATTTTTATTTTCTCCGATATTGTAGCTTGTAATCAATAATACGTTTACCCTTCGTTCTAATAGAAACCATTAGCCCAAAACTTGTGTGAGGGAGGGGACGGTATATTATTATTCAGCGGGTACACCTCCTTAAAAACAAGTAGGCTGGCAGAGTCAAGTGAAACATGTGTTGGGTTCTTTTTTTATTAAAAAAATAACACCGTAGGATGAACATCGAAGAAATGGTAGTTCGTTATATCTCCGTGGCGAAAAGTTTGCAAAAACAAACAACTGTGTGGTGCACATCTTGGATTGAAGTAAAACACAATTTTTGGACTGTTTTAGCCTCAGTTGCCCTTCGGAAGCGTTCGGATCAGGGTCGGATTCTGCTTAAATTTAAACTGGGCAGGGAGAACCGTTCATTATTTGATTGTATATGAAAATAAATAACATTGACCTAAATCAGGCTTCTCCTGCAGTTAGACGTTATCTATTAGGTCAATGAAGTGGCTGAATAAGAAAAAAGAATAAACGTATACCCTTTTTTGTTTAGAATTTTATAACTTTTTAATAGAGCCTGTTTTTTAACTTTCCTGAATATGTCTCCGTATACTTTATGTCAACTGTTTTTAAAAACTCGAAATGTTTAAAAAAATAAAAAATATTTCATATTAGTGGGATTAATAGTTTTAATTTTTATTGTCTGCTTTTTTTAAAACGTCAAAAATAATTATGTATTTTAAAACGTGAATTAACTTTTTCTACAACTAGCAATGTATCTGCAGGGTATAGCAAAAGTACCGGAACGGCGGAATAACTCGGCAGAAGAGCAATTTAGAGAAAAATGTTATATACAAAAATTTCGGGATTTCTCCCGGGCTATCCAATGGTGTTTCTTTAAAGTTCCGCGGTTCGTCCACATTGACATCAAACAGATATGGTGACTTTAAAATGACTCGGTGCTAATTCATACCAAGGCAATCTGTATTTAGAAGATTACTTTCCGTCGCAGATTCGCTTTCTAACAGTTGATTTTAAATGGTAACAACTGGCAATTCTGTTAAGAGGGCAAATGGGCAACCAGCAATACATTTTTATAGATTTTATTACACAGTTTGTCTAGCTATGAGCCAATGCACAAATAACAGACTTTCCTCCATTCCAACGCAGATTTCCTACAAAATGGAGTCAGTTTGAAACTCAAATTATTTTTTGTTGTCACGAAATTTGTAATTTGAATCGTAAATTACAAATTTCTTTACACCAAAAAGTTATTTGAATTTCAAACTAAGTCCATTCTATAGGAAATCTGCGTTGGAATGGAGGAAAGTCTGTTATTTGTGCATTTGCTCATAGTTAGACAAATTGTGTAATAAAATCTACAAAAATGTATTGCTGGTTGCCTAATTGCTATAGAGCCCTCGTAAGTGATGATACAACTTACTATGCTAATTCCTGGCCTCTCGGTTTATGCCGCCCAACAAGAATTTAAATGTTGTTTAATAAGCAAATTACAACTGCTACATACAGGCTACAACTTTGAGTGGGGGTCATATTTATACAGAAATTATTTGTTCAAATTACTTTGTAAAAACTTAATTTGTTTTTGTCATGCATGGATTTGCATTTTGGATGTTGGCAGTTGGCACCATGGATTGGTGTTCTGTGTTCTTTTAAGTTCAGTTCGGTTGTTGGCTTTGTACCAAAAATCAGATAACTGTTTTGTTAGATGTTAGATGTATTATTTAAGAAATAAAGTTTTTCTATAATATTATATTAATCACTCCATGTGTTAACCACTGTGCTGGAAACATAAAAGTTTTAATCTTTTTTTAGTAAGTTTCGAACCCTACCGCTGTTTACTTACATGATATTTAGAAAAATTCTTTCAATTTGTTCCCTTTCAATGTTAGCGAATTGGCATTCAAAGCACGCATAATCTCTTAAATGCGTAACCTGCCACTTTTAACTACGTGGACTTCAGGATACGGAGTTCGTTTGGAATTTAATAATGATGAAAAACATTCAAATTCACAGTTAGATGCACTGTGTTCTAATGCGGAACAACAACTAACACCCTTCGCTTTTTCACCTGTTGACCCACACTATCTCCCTGCTCATGCACTGTAACTTGCCTACAATTCATATATTTGTATTTCAGAAAGTAGATTAAAAAAATCTTCAATTTCCATTTCAGTAAAATTTATTTGACCTATTATATCTTGAGTGATTGGCATTCGAAAAATTCAGTGTTCATAAATTTAGTTTCAAATTAATTTGTCCGTTTTCATTCAAGTTCATTTAGAAAAATATTTTTATTAAAGTATACATTAAATGTTGGATAATTTATTAAAGTTTTAGACTGAAATACACAAATGTTTGGTTTTTAAAGATTTTTTGGACTATTTCAGAGAAAAAAATTTTGAACTCGATTATGAGGTAAGGTCAGGTTATCTTTCCTCTAAAACTATCACCCCTGCAAAAAAACATATTCATGCTTCAATCTTGTGATAAATATCCATTGCTATAACGAAATATTTAGATTTTTTGAGACACCTTTTAAGTAAAAGTTAAGCGAAGTCCAAAAAAATCTTTAAAAACCAAACATTTGTGTATTTCAGTCTAAAACTTTAATAAATTATCCAACATTTTTTAATGAACTTGAATGAAAACGGACAAATTAATTTGATATAACACTGTTAGAAACTAAAGAGTGACCGCAAACCAGCATATTTTTAGCCTATTTTCTCACCTTTGCCAGAGACCTTAAAAAAATCCTAAAAATATTCTGCATATGTCAAATTATTGGTAATGAAAAATCAAGATGAGCATATTTTTTAGTTTTTCGAAAAATGTCGAAAATCGAAATGATGACGCAAAACTGAAATATATGAATAATATCAATAAGAATTAAAGCAATTCTTATTGTATATTTTCTATAAAATAAAATCTTACAAATAGGAAATAATTTATTTTCATGATTAATGAGGGCGTGGTATAGTTGTAAGTCCACCCCTTAAATTCTCTATGGGGCTTAAATTCTCCCCTAAATACGAAAAAAATCAAAAATTATTTGAAAAATTTGGGAGAAAGTACTAGGATATTCTAAATTATTAGAAATTCAAATCGTGTACTTCTCACTAGTATCTATAAGAAAACCACCCAAAGGGTGTGAACAACCCCCGTGATAACATACGAAAATATCATAGCGATATAAAAAACTGTCGAATATTTTATAATAGATCTTACTTTTCTGATCAGAAAGATTAAGCTGACTTGTACCTGATTATTCCAAAATTTTTTTTTTAAATCAACCCTCATAGGGGGCGAAATCATCCCCTAAATATAAAAAATCAAAAAATATTTGAAAAATCTTGATTTTTCAAATAATTTTTTAGTTTTTCCATATTGGGTTTCCATATTCCATAATAATTTATTCTTATTGTTATTATTCATATATTTCAGTTTTGCGTCATCATTTCAACCCCTAATTAGGGGTGATTTTCAACATTTTTCGAAAAACTAAAAAATATGCTCATCTCGATTTTTCATTACCAATATTTTGACATATGCAGAATATTTTTAGGTTTTTTTAAGGTCTCTGGCAAGGGTGAGAAAATAGGCTAACATTGTGGTCACTCTTTATGAACACTGAACTTTTCGAATGCCAATCACTCAAGATATAATGGGTCAAATAAATTTTATCAAAATGGAAATTGAAGATTTTTTAATCTACTTTCTGAAAGAAATTGTATTTTTTAATAGTCCGATGATGAAAAATAGTGGCATTCGAATAAATCGAAAAAAATTGGAGAAAAACCGAGGTTTAAACGTTTCCTGAGAGCAGCCTAATAAATTGACCGCATTTTCGATATTTTTCCCTAAAAGGTTATCCTTTTACCTTTAAAATACCGCTTGCTAAACCTTTTTATCTTTTTTCTATCCAGAGTTCTATGATTTTGACACTAAAGTAGTTCCAATCGTTCATTGCCACTGCAATTATGTATTACAAATACATGAATTGTAGGCAATCTACAGTGCACGTGCAGGGAGATGGTGCGGGTCAACGGGTGAAGAAGCGAAGGGTGTTAGTTGTATTCAGGGAAACACGTACTATTACCCTTAAAAAAACTGACCCTCACTTAAAATTACGCCCTGTATTATAGACGGTTACAGTATGCCGCATAAACTTTTTTTTTTTTCAGTGATTAACGTAACTCTGCCCGACGAAAAATCCAACTACGTGCATAGAATTGGTCGCGTGGGTCGAGCGGAGAGGATGGGTTTAGCTATTAGTTTAGTCAGTACCGTCCCGGAAAAGGTAGACGATATACATTTTTGTACCATAATTACTTAATAACCCTCTTGCCTTTCGTATAGGTTTGGTACCACGGAGAGTGGTGCAAAACCAGAGGAAGGAACTGCTGGAACACCAACCTTACCGATCAGAAAGGTTGCTGCATTTGGTATAACGAGCCGCAGGTAACTTATTTCGACGATACGACAACTGCAGTTTAATACGAACATTTTTTTTGTTTTTCAGTATTTAGCGGACATCGAGGAACACCTAAACGTGACGATTCAACAGATCGGGCCGGACATACAAGTTCCCCACGACGATTTCGACGGGAAAGTCGTGTACGGGCAGAAAAGGAAGGCGGCGGGTACCAACTACGAGACCCACACCGCGCAGATGGTTCCGATCGTGGCGGCTTTGTCGAGACTGGAAAGCGACGCGCAGTCGATTTATGTGAAGCGTTACTTAACGAAGTTGACCCGTGCTTAGATTTGTTAATTTTTTATACTTATTTATGGCATTTATTGTAACTTTATAGTCTCGTGTTCCGTTACTACATTCTTAATGCTATTATTAACTAATTCAAATGTACTGGAGGTGAATATAAAAAAATGTGTATGAAAATTTTGTTTTATTTAAATTTTTTAGTGGTTTATTTCTCCCATTTTTTTTTCTCTGAACTTTCTTTATTCTGCAATTTTTTTATGTTTCCAGCTGTTTAAAATGGACAGACTTCAAGAAATGTTTGTTAGAATTATTTTCTTCGAATATTAATCTTGTTTTATTTTAATTTTTTGGATATTTGCTTCCCGTTGCATTTATTTTTTAAAATAAATAGGATTTACATGTGATCATTTCTTCAAATAGGATCCCTCTTCGATATACAGGGTGATCTAGTTTCAGAATGTTCCATTTTTTTGTATTCCGATTAAGAGGGCTCTGTAGCAAATAGGCAACCAGCAATACATTTTTATATATTTTATTACACAATTTGTCTAAATATGAATTAATGCATAAATAACAGACTTTCCTCCATTTTAACGCAGATTTTCTATGAAATAGAGTTAGTTTGAAATTTGAATTACTTTTTGGTGTATAGAAATTTGCAATTTACGATGCCACTTGTTCAAAAGCGGCAAATTACAAATTTCTTTACAACAAAGTTATTTAAGTTTCAAACTAACTATTTTATAGAAAATCTGCATTAAGGTGATATCAGACGATTCACTTTTTATTATTATCTGTCTTTCATTCAGCATCTTCCATTTAAAGTGAAACGTTTAAACACAAAATGAATCAATGATGAATGAATTCATTAGTGAACCAATCCAGCGATGTTGGATTTTTTCATTCGACATCAGTCACTCGCGCTCCCAATGAATGAAAAATGAAACGTATGAACACAAAATGAACGTTCACTTGACTTCGGTCAGTTTTCGCAAATTAAGTGAATTCCAAGACGCACAACTCTGTTATTGCGTGATCAGTGATACATTTTTTGGTTCAGTGTTCAATGGTAATAGGGAAGTGAAGAATATGGCGTCGTTTATAATGTATGTGTGATACCACAAAACATTGTGATAATGTTTAGAAAATTAAAGAAATACATATTTGAGCAGCGTTTTAATGAGACGAAACCTAACAGAATTAGCAGACATGTTCTGCTAAAACTACATTATCTCGATCGATAGTGACAGACTGATATATTTTGGGATGCTTATGTTTAAATAATTTTAATTGTATTTCATACCTCCTGGTGGTGCCTTCGTATTTTTTTAAGTCTAAACAACTTAGTTTTTATTTACTTCCCTACTATGTTTTTTATTATGAATGCCAGACATATTTATTTTGTCATATGATCATTATTTTTTCAAATAGGCTCCCTTATCAGATTACAGGGAGACAAGTTTACAAAAATTATTTTTTTAAATTTTCTCAATGGAAATTTGGAACTAAACGTATTAGGTACATTTGCGCGACAAGTACGACTTTTAAAAAGTAACTTAAATAACAAATTAGTTTGCCAAGATGGTCCTATACTCATACGCATAAGAAGTCGATGCAAAATCGATACGCATAGTTAAAAAATGCCGTAGGTATTTCTTTGTTTTTTTTTAATTAAAGCGCTATTGCTCATGTCCCCATCACTGTTTTCTAATTTGTCAGATTTTGGAAGCGAGCATCAACCAAAAATAATAGGCAGGTAGTACTTTAGCGAATAAACTTATTTCAAAACCATTTTCCAGACACACAGGGTTTTAAAAATCCAAAAATACTCATTTAGACATTAGATTAGGTCAAGTTTTCATAAAATACTAATATTAAAACTCTTGCGCAACCAGTGGTGGAGATATACTTGTGGATATTTTATTCCAAAAACAACTAATTTTCAAATTATTATTTTAATCTAAACATACAGTTTTTGGAATTTACTTGCGATATTAAAGAAGTACATGAAAACTCAACTGAATACCTACACAATCTTGACTTTATCCATTGTGTACGGTCAGTAAATAAAACAAACAAATTATTGTGCAAATTATGAACGCAAATGTGTATATTATCGTATTACATCGATTTAGAACATCCTACCTAAAATTTGACAAACTTTTTCCACGTAATTATATTAACTCTTATTTTTAAATTCTAATGAAAGAGAAAACATATTTCTACACCATCAGAAATTGAGATACTTATGTATTTGCGTCGAGAAACAATGGGATTTGTCAGTGGCTGCTTTAATTCGTTTCCACTTCATTTCTCCCAGACCAAGCAGTTATATAACTTTTATCTGTAATTATTTTTTATGTAAAGATATCATTATTCTGCTCGCGGAATTTCCCCACTTTCTCCCATCGAATACAAAGCGCAGTGAAAGCAGATATGGTGTCGGTGGATAACTTGGCCTCAAAATTATACTCGCTGTTATCAGAAAGAACTAACGGGGGTAAGTTATGTGTATTTAACGATATAAATAGTTTCTATTAATGATTATTGAAGTGTATACTGGATACATTGCACAATATTGCATCAAAACTCTTTATTATCAACAGACGTTATCGATTTCTTAGTACGCGGTCGAGTACGTGAACGTGGTTGCGCATGATCGGCATCGCAACCGATAGCGCGACGATTGTGACGTTTTGTGCTTAGATACCAGTGGTGTATCGTTTTTAGGGGGTCATGGTTTTTAATAATAGCACAAAATTGTTTGTGTAAAGCAGTTACTGGAGTATAGGCACTCCTAATTGAAATTTGAAATTATTTTGGGGACAAAATAAGTTTTGCACTTTTAGTTTCATGAATATGTTACTATTTTGAGGAGTTATGTCCATTTAACGATGAAATTATTTCAAATCATTGTAAATTTGATAAATATAAACGCAACAAATAAAAGCTAAGATCGGAAAACTATTTTGAACGAATAAACATAAAAATTTCTTAGAACTAATAGATTTCTTTTAAACTTCACTCAATTTTTTTTTTTCAGAAGAAATCAATGAATGGCGATTGCTAGGCCAGGAGCGTGATGGTACCTTTCTGTTTAGCTGGGTCCAATCTAACAAAGATGGACAGACACGCACATGCATCGGTTTATATTCTTACGAAGAAAATGAACTCACACCTGTTTACTCATTTAACGAAAAAGTAAACTGTATACAGGCATCTGTCAATAGCCATAAGACCATTTTAGCTTTCGTTGTTAAAGAAAATAATGGGGATCAGGAATACGTTTATAAACCGAAACTGTACAGGATCAACGATGATTATAATGACGTGTGCGATTTAGAACTTGGCAGGTGCAAACAGATAATGGTGCAGTTTCTGTATCCCAAGCAGTCTATTTTATCGGAAAATCAACCTGTTAAGTTTTTAATTTTCATCCACCAAGAATGTAAGTATATTTGAAAATATACAGTGTGCTACACTTCAAATAAATACGCAGACATCGAATGACTAGAGTCCTTCTAAAAGCTCAAAATCTTTTATAAAATATATTGAACTACATCGAAAGGATTTTAGAGTTTTAGAACACAAGATACGTTGGACCGTCTAACTTAATAAAAATACACAAAAACAGCAAAATACGTCAAAATAGCATTAGAAATACTTCGGAAATTTTAACGTATAACAAGGTTTTTGGAGATATATCGAAGTTTTCGAGATATATCGAGATTTTCGAGGTATATCGAAGTTTTCGATGTATATTGAGGTTTTTATTTTGGTGTATTCTGTGGTTTTTTAAATATTTTAAAGGTGTTTCGTATTATTTTAATGTATTTGGTAACAAATTTGAGGAATTTTGAATTTCAAAGTAACGTTTTAATGAAAAATTTTTTCAAAATGTTAGTATTTCACTTAGTTTACCCTTTAATTTAATCAGAATGCTGATATTGCATACCTTGTAAAAATTTATCAATATTTACAATTTTATTAATAGTCCAGGCGATAGAGCAGTAACAGTAGGCTTTGGCGTTTGTGTTTGAAGTCACCTATTTTGTTGTACAAAATCGCAAATATTATGTAGAATAAAAATCCAAGTTTCAAAAAACCATTGTTAAGTTCAGGGGAACAACAAACATACAAAAAGAACGAAAAATGACCCGTTTTTCGACATAGAAAGGGCACACAATTTTTTAGAAATACTTGTTGTCATAGTAAACAATGATCAATACTAAAAATACCTATTTTTACACTTTTATAACTATTTAGAATTTTTTTTTAAATTTTCAACGTATTCCTCTATAAACAATTATTTATTGCCTAGGGAATTTTCTACGCAATCGACAATCGAATGCAAAAAAATATTCGTATTCCTCTTATTTTGCCATATCAAATTAAAAAAAATTCATCTTGATGAGCGCTACCGTTCCCGAGAAAAGTCATATTTTATCGAGCATACGCATTTTGAAACCCATGCAGCGCGCGGCAGCACAGCTGCTCTCAGTCGTCCCAATTTCCGCTCTGCCGAGAAATTCCAGTAACCACGGTACCTTTCTTGATTTTTCTTTTCTTTCATTAAGCTTTTATCTGCCGAAAATGCACTAAATGGATATTGAAAGTACTTGTAGTTAGCTATAAAACCATTTTTTTTCTCGAATTCACGATTACGTAAGCTATAAATTATTATTACCTAACTTTACGATTCTTTATCTCAGAATCTACACGGTAGAATGCTGTCGTATTTGGCTGAAAAGCAAGGGGTAAGGGGTTACGACGTAGTTTTTAAGTGTGCAATATTTTGCCAGTTGCATAGAAAATTTCCTGGGCAATAAATAATTGTTCATATGAAAATGTAGAAAAATTTAAAAAAATTCTAAACGGTCATAAAAGTGTAAAAATAGGTACTTATTTAAGATTTTAAAGGGATTTGCTGTTTTCGTCCTTAAGAAATGTTATCTACTTTAATGTTATTAATTGTTTAGCTTTTCAAAGACCTTCCCTTATTTTTTACCCGTCTTGTTTTGACGAAAGCAACAAACCTTTTCCGACGCTCTTTAAATTTGAAGCGCCCTAGTTTTTTTCTTTAAGGTATACTGCAATACCAGATCAAGACTCCCGATGGAGAATTAGACAAAGACGGTTTTATGTACGAATCTTTGGTAAGAATGTTTATGTGGGCCCAGTGGGACCCGTTACAACAAACTTTATACTACATCCACAACAGAAAACGAGGTAGGTGTTTGGTAGAAGGCGAGGAGGAAGTCCTTGACGATACAGGAACAAAAGTCACACCCACCTTGTCTGGATTACAATTTAATGACGAATTGCCCCATGAAACAGTGGTAGGTACACACATTAAGCTCTAGATAGATAATATATTTTACTAAATACTACCTAAATTTTCTTATAAAATTAATTTTAATAAAACACAACACACACCCAACAAATTCTCGGTTTCAGTAAAGTTATCAGTAGCGATTCCGGTATTCTAGTCTCTTTGTATATTACACTCATCTCAGGAAACAAAACTTTTTTTCAGTTAAACATACCGTTGAATTTGCCCCACTTTTCTTCACTTCACGGATCGTGCTTCATCTACGAAGATGATCCGGTCCCGTTGAGAATACACGATTGTGCTTTGGATCTCGTCGTCCTTACGGATTCAAATGGATTTGTGTGTATCTGCCATCATTATCTGTACCAGGTACGCCTTTTTTTAAATAGAAACGACGTAAAAAATTGCTCGTTAATTTCTAGCCCATACAACCAGTCGTGGAGTTGAACGACGACGACACGAACCCGATACATTTTGCTTATTCGGTAACAGTCTTGCATCAAAGTTGTGTGATACATTGCGTTATACCGGAAATACCGTGGAACAGAGCGAAGAAAATTAGGCCGCTGTTTACATTGAATGGTGATGTTTATTCTGTTCATATCTTAGATTGCTAACTTATAGTTTTCCTTCTAGGGAGTCATCTGCTCATTTTCATCCCCGAAATCTGTACCCACCTTCTGGATATTGGTTTAATGCACGAGCCATGTTGTCACATTACAGTGAAGCCCATCATAACAGATGTTGAAACACATTTGTTGTGTTTAGCGCCTGTTGTGTCGATGGACATCAAATATGTCGTGAATTTAGCCACCCTGGATTTAATAGACATAAACGTACCAACTTCCTTACTAGTGGAAACTTTTAAAAGTGATACGCTTTTAGAAAACAAGTTGTCGATCCTTCACTATCTCATCCTGCATTCTGATGACATAAGCAGCGCATCTGAGGTAAACTGCATCGATCTGATATAGGGTGAATCTTAAATCTGTACATATACTCGTATTGCGCCTGCGGATAATTCGTAATGTAAATGAATTAAGTGAAAATCATTTCTTAAAAATACCAGTATTTACGGAGATGTAAACTTTTATTTAACTTGCTTTGTTAGTATGGATCAAATCTTGCAACTGAATTTTAAAACAGTTATCCCCAACAGATTGAGCTGAAATTTTAGTTTTGATTACAATGCATGGATTGCATGGTTAGCTAAGTGATATCATTCTAAATCCAATATGGCGGACTCCCAAAGATGACATCCCAAAGATGACGGACCAGTTATATTGTTAAAACTGCAAGAACTTTTCAATTAATTAAAAAAATAACCAGAACAGTTTTCATCTTAATTTTAAATGCCATAAATTTACAAAAAACAAGAATCTCAATAAAAACTCAATATTTATATGGGTATATAGGAATAGTAGACCGATCCAAATAACTCATTTAGAGGGAAAAAAAAAGAAAATTGTTACCTGGACTTTTATAAGTGGAAATGGTAAAGGGGCTTATAATAAACGAAAAAAATAAATAAATGCGTGAGCAGGGGCGGCGGAGGGTTGATTTAGGGGGTTGAAAAGTTATGAAAAATTGTATCATTGGGATTTCTGGCAAAAGTTGGCGTCAAACAAAAATATATCCAATACAAAAGTTGTAGGTCATGCAAAAATCTACAGCTTTTGTAGAGGTCACTTTTTAACATAACCTCAAAATTTCCGAGAAAAATGCGAAAAACAGTTTTTTTTTCTGATTTTTCGTTTTTTATTTCTCATTTCCGCATAAATAATTTAATTTTGACGAAACTTGGTGAAAGTATACCTTTCTCTATCTTAAATAACCTCAAATTTTGTTAGATAAAAAAATCCAGAAGTTTTTGAGATATTTATTTTTTTCGGCCTGAAACACTTTTTTTTCAAAGAAACATTCAACTTAAAAAAATCGTCGTACAGAGTTCTGCCGGTAATCATTTTTTTCGTTTTGAAATAAAAAAATCTGTAATAAGCAGTTCAAAAACATGCTCAAAAATGCAAAAAAAATAAAAAATTACTTGTAACATTAAATTTTTCAGTCATTGTTGATAATTTGTTTAAATTAAAAAACATTAAAAAACATTAAAAAATTGATTACACCATTCAATTCTATGGAAAAAATACAAAAAAACTGTCTCATTGTTTGACCCAAAACTATTTTTATACAGTATTGCTATAAATATAAGTCGAATAGTGAATAAATAAAATAAATAATAACTTTTTCTTCGTAGGATCGATTAGTGTACTAATTTTTTTTAAAGTTTGATGAATTCGTAGATATACAGTGTGCCCAAGATAAGGATGGGATAGCATTAGGATCTAGGAAACGGTAAAATATATGGGGTGGCTCAGATTAGAAAAAAGTTGTGTTTTTTTATACCTAACAACATGCTGTTTAGAAAGTTTTAAAATTCCGGGTAGTTCTGGAGATATCCGGAAAAACCCGAAATTTTGCTAAATTGTTTAATTTTTTCTGGCTTTATTTGAAAACGAATTTTAAAATAAATTACATATTTACAATGCCACTTTTTTCGCTCTATACAANTTGTTTGACCCAAAACTATTTTTGTACAGTATTGCTATAAACATAAGTCGAATAGTGAATAAATAAAATAAATAATATTTTTTTTCCGTAGGATTGATTATTATACTTATTTTTTTTAAAGTTTGATGAATTCATAGATATACAGTGTGTTCAAGATAAGGATGGGATAGCATTAGAATCTAGGAAACGGTAAGAGATACGGGGTGGCTCAGATTAGAAAAAAGTTGTGTTTTTTTTATACCTAACAATATGCTGTTTAGAAAGTTTTAAAATTCCTGGTAGTTCCGGAGATATCCGGAAAAACCCGAAATTTTGCAAAATTGTTTAATTTTTTCTGGCTTTATTTGAAAACGAATTTTAAAATAAATTACATATTTACAATGCCACTTTTTTCGCTCTATACAATGGCGTCAACATTTTTGCAATCCGACGTTTCATCTTCGAGGGGCCATCATCGTGTTAATTTTTCCAAATACGTCGCTGCTATTTTTATGATAAAATCTTAAGTCATTTTTAATTCTGAATTAGAGGATATTACTATTGTATTCGTTTAAAAAGTTTTTAGCTTGTTTTAACTGTAAGTACGGCCCTGAACACTTTCAAAATATCTATCGGATGAAGTCATAACAGTATAAAAGTCAATGCTGCGCAAAATATCCAACAATTTTTTACTACTGTTAGCAATACTAATTAGAAATAATAAAATATTTCATAAATTCGTATTATTTTTTTATTAGGTACAACTTTTTAAATTACAGATTAAAAAAAATTGTTGGATATTTTGTGCTGTATTGACTTTTATTCTCTCCTCCTCTCTCTCTCTCTCTCCTCCAATAGATACAGGTATTTTGAAAGCGTTCAGAGCCGTACTCAGGTAAAATTTTTAATGATAGCTAAAAACCTTTTTAAGCGATTACAAGAGTAATATCATCTAATACAGAATTAAAAATGACTAGAGTTTGTCATAAAAATAGCAACGATATATTTAAAAAAATTAATCTGATGATGGCCCCTCGAGACGAAACGTCGGATTACACAAATGTTGACGCCATTGGATAGAGCGAAAAGAGTGGCAATGTAAATATGCAATTTATTTAAAATTCGTTTTCAAATAGTCAGAAAAAAAATAAAACGATATAAACGATTTTGCAAAATTTCGGGATTTCAGATAGACTTTACAGTTAATACTTTGTATTGCTGAAATATCAAATCATCCAGAGATAATTTATCATTTGTGCATTTGTAATTCGACTTAGATGTTTATAGCAATACTGTACAAAAATAAAGTTTTGGGTCAAACAATCAGACAGTTTTTTTTTATTTTTTTTCCGTAGAATTGAATGGTGTAATCAGTTTTTGAATGTTTTTTAATTTAAACAAATTGTCAACAATAACTGAAAAATTTATTGTTGCAAGTAATTTTTTATTTTTTTTGCATTTTTGAGCCATGTTTTTGAACTGTTATTACAGATATTTTTATTTCACCAAAAAGTGTATGTCAAAACGAAAAAAATGATTACCGGTAGAACTCTGTACGACGATTTTTTTAATATAGAATTTTTCTTTGAAAAAAAATTGTTTCAGGCCGAAAAAATTAATATCTCAGAAACTTCTTGATTTTTTTTTTATCTAAAAACATTTGAGGTTATTTAAGACAGAGAAAGGTATACTTTCACCAAGTTTCGTCAAAATTAAATTATTTTTGCGGAAATGAGAAATAAAAAACGAAAAATCAGAAAAAAANATAGATATACAGTGTGTCCAAGATAAGGATGGGATAGCATTAGCATCTAGGAAACGGTAAGAGATACGGAGTGGCTCAGATTAGAAAAAAGTTGTGTTTTTTTATACCTAACAATATGCTGTTTAGAAAGTTTTAAAATTCCGGGTAGTTAAGGAGATATCCGGAAAAACCCTAAATTTTGCAAAATTGTTTAATTTTTTCTGGCTTTATTTGAAAACTAAATTACATATTTACAATGCCACTTTTTTCGCTCTATACAATGGCGTCAACATTTTTGCAATCCGACGTTTCATCTTCGAGGGGCCATCATCGGGTTAATTTTTCCAAATACGTCGCTGCTATTTTTATGATAAAATCTTAAGTCATTTTTAATTCTGAATTAGAGGATATTACTATTGTAATCGCTTAAAAAGTTTTTAGCTTGTTTTAACTGTAAGTACGGCTCTGAACGCTTTCAAAATATCTATTGGATGAAGTCATAACAGTATAAAAGGCAATACCGCACAAAATATACAAAAAATTTTTACTACTGTTAGCAATACTAATTAGAAATAATAAAATATTTCATAAATTTGTATTATTTTTTTATTAGGTACAACTTTTGAAATTATGGATTAAAAAAAATTGTTAGATATTTTGTGCTGTATTGACTTTTATTCTCTCCTCTCTTTCTTTCTCCTCCAATAGATACAGGTGATTTTGAAAGCGTTCAGAGCCATACTCAGGAAAAAATTTTAATGATAGCTAAAAATCTTTTTAAGCGATTACAATAGTAATATCATTTAATACAGAATTAAAAATGACTAGATTTTGTCATAAAAATAGCAACGATATATTTAAAAAAAATAATCTAATGATATCCCCTCGAAGACGAAACGTCGGATTACAAAAATGTTGACCCCATTCGATAGAGCGAAAAAAGTGGCAATGTAAATATGCAATTTATTTAAAATTCGTTTTCAAATAAAGCCAAAAAAAAATAAAACGATTTAAACGATTTTGCAAAATTTCGGGATTTCAGATTTCGTCAACAGTAGGTACATAGACTTTGCAGTTAATACTTTGTATTGCTGAAATCTCAAATCATCCAGAGATAATTTGTAATTCGATTAGATGTTTATAGCAATACAGTACAAAAATAAAGTTTTGGATCAAACAATCACACAGTTTTTTTTATTTTTTTCCGTAGAATTGAATGGTGTAATCAGTTTTTGAATGTTTTTTAATTTAAACAAATTATCAACAATAACTGAAAAATTAATTGTTGCAAGTCATTTTTTATTTTTTTGTATTTTTGAGCATGTTTTTGAACTGTTATTACAGATTTTTTTATTTCACCAAAAAGTATATGTCAAAACGAAAAAAATTATTACCGGCAGAACTCTGTACGACGATTTTTTTAAGTAGAATTTTTCTTTGAAAAAAAAGTGTTTCAGGCCGAAAAAAATTAATAGGTATCTCAGAAACTTATTGATTTTTTTTATCTAAAAACTATTGAGGTTATTTAAGACAGAGAAAGGTATACTTTCACCAAGTTTCGTCAAAATTAAATTATTTTTGCGGAAATGAGAAATAAAAAACGAAAAATCAGAAAAAAACTGTTTTTCGCATTTTTCTCAAAAATTTTGAGGTTATGTTAAAAAGTGACCTCTACAAAAGTTGTAGATTTTTGCATGATCTACAACTTTTGTATTGGATACTTTTTTGTTTGACGTCAACTTTCGCCAGAAATCCCAATGATACAATTTTTCATAACTTTTCAACCCCCCAAATGTAATTTGGTTGGACTATAGTTGGTGATTTATGGGTAAATATAAGTTTAATAGGGTCAGAAACAGGTTATAAACACTTATGAAGACATTTGTGAGTTTCTTTGATGTATTGTCTTCAAATGTGCTTATTTATTTAACTTTTTTTTACCTTTTACAGTATAAGAGTTCAGTTTGACAGCGGTAACGTTGTATAGCTGATCTACGTTATGCGTAAATACTACAGTGAAGTCAGCGGCTCTCAACAAGTTTCCTATAAAAAAAACATACATATTTATTATAAATTTGACTTTTTCCTAAAGATATTAGTTAAATGTTCTACGCAGTAAACTGTATTGCTACTGTGTGTACACATTTACGATTCACTCTGTGTACAGGGTGTTTCATAACTCTTCCGACACAGAGCAGGCTCGGCAGACGAGGGAATAGTACGCGGTAATGTGCAGTCTCTGTAAACGTCAGAAATGACACATGAAATCATAGTCTATTAGTCGTAAAAGTGCATACTTTACTTTTGTCCTATTCAATTAGTAGTGGCGCTGTTTCACAAATTCCCGATTTTCTCAAAAACCGTTATTTTTTCGAAAAATTTGTTAAAGTAAAATTATTTTTAAAATTAAATTTCCTGGTAAAACTATTTAATAATTGGCATACTGATAGAAATATGGATATCACTTTAATGGCGCCCTACCCTTAGTCCGGCCCTTATTGGGCTTCCAACAAATTCTTAAAAATCGTTTTAGTTGATCTCATGGCAAGCCGAGAGACCATTTACATTAGGATTCCCGCAAATGCTGAAGGAATATCTGATAGGAACGTCTTATGCCTCAGTTCAAAGAAACCTGCCCTCAGATGCAAACAAACTGATTAACTTGCTACCGATAACATCCCTACGTATCGGATCTGACATCGAGGTCGAGTTAGACAATCACATGATATGTCTATCTCAGGACGTCTTGTGGAACGCCTCGATGATGCTGCTTTCTCCCCAGCAACGCATAGTACCTTACAGGAGCGACATCTGGGTCAAACTGTGGGACCAACTCGCTAAAGTCTCCAAAGGAGCTCAGAGGTTTAAGCCAAGTCAGGTTGTGGAAAAACTGACTGTGTCTCTGGTTTGTTACCAGGTGGGTGTAAATTTATAACTCCCAGATATTTTTTAGACAAGTTCCTTTTTTCAGCCAGAAATTTTGTCAAGATCCAGCACGCCAATGTCTCCCAGCGGCGGTGCGTCGTCTGCACTGAACGATTTCCTGAATAACCAGTGCGGGAAGAGGAGTCAAAACGAGTCTTTGCCGTTTTTTGAGGTTGACAATTGTACTGCCAGTAAACAGGAGCATATAATATCAGTGGTAAGTTCAGTAAGGTCAAAAAAGCATGAGGACCTTCATAAGGAATTGAAAATTGATCTTAAGGTCAAGGTCGTTTTCGAATTTGAGTTTGCTCTACCTTTTACATACAGGTACGTTCACAACGTTAAATCTGCCCAAAAAATTAAATAAACAGCTAACAAGCAAATTTTCAACATTTGACCTTCTCAAGGTCAAAATAACAACAATTAAAATATCAATTCTGACGTTACATTTTTCACTTTTGTTTTGATACGTTATCAAAGACAAAGTTTTCCATTAAAAAAAAACATTAACATTCAAATGACCTTGAAAATTACCTCAAGGTCAACATTGTTAAAGTCGGTTACGTTTATTCCGCCATCAAACTCAAACAGCTATCAGTCAGTTTTTTAGCATTTGACCTTGAATTGACCTTCTGGAGGTCACAAAGATAAACTTAAAAATATCATTTCGGATGTAAAATTTCCCGCCCTTTTCGAATCCGGTGTCAAAAATAGAGGTTCCTAATTAAAAAAACACTGGCTTACAAATCACCTTGAAAATTAATCTCAAGGACAAAGCTAGTTGCACTGATAGGTGACTCCCATTGTCCTGAACAACTTTTGTCTAAACCATTGTTCCGTATCTCGCGTAGGTACGGAGAAAGGGTACATAGATTAAAATGGCCCACCCTACATATAAATAAAAAATGTTTGGACAAATTTTAATGACGGATTCTGCTCCCTGAATTAATGAAAAAAGTTCCTATGAATATACAGGTTCGGAAAGTCCCCATGGTTCATCGGCCGTTACGTGAGAGCGATAAAGTAAGTCATAGAAATCCGTGCGATAGAGAAGGATGGCTATAATGAAGACGTCTTATAGTCACCGCTCTTTTCGCCCTTCCACAAATAAGGTCCACTTCCACTTGTAATTCAGCGACCGGTGGTCATCTTTGTTTTTGTCGTATGCCTTTTCTGTCATAGATGTCACTACTTATACAATTCCGACTTCGGTATTCCCACATGTTAATACAATCCGTTAACAGAGGGCAGCACAACGCGTAACAAAGAAAACTTTTTACAGTAGCTGGTAGATACCTCTGTTTGTAAATCTAGTGACCTTGTTTCCTCTACTGAGAAGTTATTCAAATGGAGTATAGTACAGCTGCATTTAAAGTTCATTCAGTTGTTATTTAAGTATACTTTTTAAAATGACTTAAAAATCCCAAGAAATATAAAGCAAAATTCCCTCTTTCCCCAATTCCAAAAAAATCTCATCTTAGAGAAATTGTGCTGCCCTCTGTTAACGGATTGTATTAACATATCGGAATACGGGAGTCGGAATTGTATAAGTAGTGACATCTATTAAAGAAAAGCCAAACGACGAAAACAAAGATGACCACCGGTCTCTGAATTACAAGTGGAAGTGGATCTTATTTGTGGAATGCCGAAACGGGCGGTGACTACGAGACGCCTTCATTATAGCCATCCTTCTCTATCGCACGGATTTCTATGACTTACTTTATCGCTCTCACGTAACGGCAAATGGACCATGGGGACTTTCCGTACCTGTATGTTCGGAAGCGCTTAATTTTTGAGTGTTACGGTGTATTCTTCCTTTTTATTGAAAGAAAACGACTGAAACAATTTCATTCAACTTTTGTATGGTGATTGTATTTTTTCAGAATTTAAGGGAACTGAATATGCATCTATTAAAGCAAAGCGCAGAGAATAAGATGAACAGGTTTCAGTGGCAGAGTCAGTCTCCCATGCACGTACATGCGGTTGCTACAAGATATATTACAGCCCAACTAGATCAGTCGAGGCAACTTTGTCAGTTGCTTTGCAAGGCAGGAACTTATGAACCGAGATGGGAACTAGATAAAGGTTTTGTCTATGTGTAAGTTTGTCGTTTTTAAGAAAAATGCTGAAACAGGTAGACATTTGTCTCTTGAAAACAATGATTCAATCATTTATAACCTAAAGTTATACAACGTAGTTATTCCATCTCTTTAATTTTTTCTTACTCATGTGTTAATTTTTTGTATCTATATTTTTTCAATGACTGTGTAATAAGTCAAAATGGTTTTCCAGCAATCAACTGCCTGAAGAAAGGCGATTTGTACTGTACACGATCTTAGAGAAGTATTATTTAGCCGTAGAATCAATTGCTTTTCCTCTGCCACAAGGTTTTACGTCTTTCTTTACATTCCTGGGATACAAAACCTTGAATTATGATATGTTTTTGCAGTACGTGAAAAGAAATGTGTTTGAGCTACACGTGGACGTCATGAAGATAATCATGGCAGGTGGGTGAGGTTTATGATTACTGTTCGCTTTGATTTTTGGTGATTCTCTTGATGTCAGTAATTTATTTCAGATATTGATAACAGCAAGACTGGTATCCAAAACAAATTAAATCTGCTGACGATACTGCCTCGATCAAGGGCCAAAAGGCTTCTCAACCAGTGGAACCATCCCATTAGTTTAATGCTGAGAGCTAGGGAGCATTCTCTAAATATTCTCTCGGGAGTTGCCGGTCATCCCACTGGTAGGATTCAAGGAACACAGAAGCACAAGGGTTTTCGAGGCAAGAATTATTACGGTTTTGAATACTTTGATATTAATTATTTTCAAATTTTTAGGATTAACTGCTTTTCCATCGAGTGATCACTTGTCTCCGCTGGATACGTTTTTAGATCTATTAACAGCCAAGGCAACTTTGACTGATATTGACTTTGGTCTGCTTGTTGAAGCCACGGAAACGTCAACAGAGGAATTCTTGTAACAAGTCGTGAAATAAAGTTAGAAAAAAATTAACATGTTTTCTCATTAATTCAGTTGTCGAAGAGATTTAACCACTTTCAGTATATCGGTTTGACTAAAGTTTTAAGAAATAATACGCCATAATAGTCCAAATAAATGTATAAAATTTTAACGCTATCGGTAAAAGGGTTATGAAGTTATTAATTAAAGTACTTTTATTTTGACAACTTTCAAGGCCTGTAAACTGAAGAATCAGAAAATTTTTATTTAACTTTTTTTTTCGTAGATCGTATTTATTTTTCGTAGTGAATGTGCAGTTAAATGTTGTCGGAGAAATTTGCGGACATCCTGTATTAAGAATACTTTTTGTAGATTTAAAGTTTTTTGTTTCTTGTTTCAGTAAAAAAAATCTAGAAAGCAAAAGAAATACAGGTTCGGAAAGTACCGATGGTCCATCTGCCGTTACGCGAGAGCGATAAAGTAAGCCATAGAAATCCATGCGATAGAGAAGGATGGCTATAATGAAGGCGTCTCATAGTCACCGCCCGTTTCGCCCTTCCACAAATAAGATCCACTTCTTATTTGTGGAAGGGTGAAATGGGCGGTGACTATTAGACGCCTTCATTATAGCCATCTTTCTCTATCGCACGGATTTCTATGACTTACTTTATCGCTCTCACGTAACGGCAGATGGACCATCGGTACTTTCCGACCCTGTAGATATCTGAAAATGAATAATGGACGTTCGTGATTGATTACAATAAAGTTTGCTTTGGGTCTATAAAATTGTGAAAATTATTGTAGCTCAGTATATGACGGTTTTTAAGTCCGAATTCTTGACACATACACCGATTGACGTAAAATTTTAACAGTAAGAAGAAAATTGCTCAAGAAACAAAAGTTACATAGTGCCGATATGTGTTTTCACCCTGAGGGTGAATGAAGGTACCTATTTTAATCACAAAAATCAATAGAGGCATGAATTCTAAGCAAAAAATGCTCTATAATGTTTTTTCCAAAAATTAATATTTTCCGAGTTATTTGCCATTGAAAATGTTGATTTTTCATCTAAAAAGTGCATGTTCTTCACCAATTTTTGATAAATAACTCGAAAACCTTGCATTTTATCGAAAAACTCAAATACAGCAAAAATAAAGCTTTTGAAATAACGAATCGATTCGTTTTTTGTTGACTACCGTAGATGTAACAATAACCGAGTTATCACTCTCTAAAGGCAATTGTTTATTTTTCGGAAAGTAAAATCGAACCGTAAAATAATGGCGAAAGCACTAATTTTTCGAAGAAAATGAATATAACCTTTTTTAAAGTGCTTGGAAAGACCTTTAAAATGCTTTTTCGTACCTCAAAAACTCGCGAAGTTATGATGAAAATAAAATGATCATCTCATTTATTCGGAGAAAAAATCAACAATAAAATCTATGGCTGAACCATAAAAATAGAAACTAAGCGTAATCAATGTACAGTTGACTTTATTTAGGTACCAATAATAGGCTCTGCAAGTTTGACCGGTTTAGAATGCCTAAATTTAAAAAAAAGTTTGAAATAATATTTTTTTTTATTTTTAAAAAATTTCCTTTTTTTTGGAAATAACTCAAAAACTAAACAAGATACGTGAAAAATGCAAGAGTTCAAAATTAAAGGTCTTCTTTTTATAATATTTTTGCTCACTTTCAATTTTTCTGTAGAGCAAAAATTAACTGAAATATTACGTTTTTTTGGTTTGCATTTGCGTGTAAGGGCCACCTTCTTTGAGCCCTTAAAACCTAAAAATCTCGAAAACGAAGAATTCAAGACCCTTCCACTATAAAGGCTGATTTGTAGCTCTTGCAATTCCCTGCAAATTGCTTTTTGGAGCGATGAAAAATATTAAAAATTAAAAAAGTTATCGTGAAAGAACGAATTGTATTATTCAGTGAAAATTGTCGGATCGTGTAAATGGCTTAACTGTTCTTCAGCGCTTGCGGTTCGAGTCCTTCGTTAAGGCTACTAACAAGAAAACGGCTGTGAAACTATCATCTTTTGTCCCCACAGTTGACGCTCTGGACCGACACATTAAGAGAGTTTTTTTACAAACTCAAGTGTGACTTGGTAATGATAGCATTAATCCAACTGATTGGGAATGGATTAGAAATGAAAATTCTCTCCAGCCTGCACCCAAAGAACTTTTAAAAATGATATTTTGCAATTGCAAAAAAGGATGCGGTGTGACTTGCAATTGCCGAAAAGTTGGACTCTATTGTAATGCGACATGCGGAACATGTTCTGGGAACAGTTGCCAAAATTGTTCTCCGATCACGGGCCAAACAGAAGAAGTCGACAGTGATGATAGTTCTTTAGATGATATGTAAATTTTTGATAATCAAGTATAATTGTATAATACACAAATAATTTTTTTATTTTCCCTTTTAATAATTACATAATTTAAGTTTCGAGTTTTAAGTAATCTCGTTGAATTGAATTTTCATGAAAATCGGGCGTGTGTCAATAATTCGGAGGTAATACCCTATTTTTACCGTTGTATACTGGACTATTGGTCCTGCTTTTCTTTTTACCAATCATAATAATCAGCAGTATAAGAAACTGAATAATTTTTCATCTCCAAGTATTTCCAAAGCCTTCTAGATTATAAAACTTAGACAGGAACTTCATAAAGCCAAATTTTTAATAAAAAAAATCCCTAGTGATTTTCTCAAAATTTGTTGAACTAAAGTGGGAATGAAACAAAAACTACAAAATGTGAAGACAAGTAAATATTCGGATAAATGAATATGCTTATGATATTTTATTAATTTGACCTTTACAACAGCACGAATTTTCTTTAGCGTAGTGTCGACTAAGGATCTACAAAACTCCCAAATCTCCTGGATTTTTCTTTTGAAATCAGGAATTTTCCTTTGGCTGTCGTTCCCCAAGAACTTTTTCTTATAAGTTATAATGTTTCGGTGACATTTAGGTAGGGGTTTCTTGACGGCCAGCTCAAGACAATATCAGTTTCAAACCATTTTTTTTTTAAATTCGATCGTATGCACCTGTTGGAATTGGGATTTAATCCAAACTAAACGGTTTTTCTTTTCGTACTCAGCGGATTTTCGTTGGGCTAGATGAAAATAACTTTCAACATTAATAAATAATTATTCACCTTTAAGGATTGTAACCACAGTTGTATTTCCATAGACGACAATATTCCCTCGATACTATTGTCTCTCTTGGTTCCACACCGCGGTAATTTCTCTCCTTTAAAGCACTTGTAGATGTTAACAAGGGGTATTTGTGCCCTTTTCATCACTTTAGGCTATCGACCACAACTCTTTTTTGCGTGGATTTCGGCATATTCACTTCGCCAGCAATTTTTTTCATCGATTTGCCTCGCTCATATTATTATTTTACGCACTTTTTGAGATTGTTGAGCCACGCGTCATTGTTCGAAATCGTCACGGTTAGTGACAGACTTACGAATTATAACAATGGACTTTTTTATTTCCAGCACCTACTTGGTTTTTAAGGCTAAAAACGCGTATGAACATTTAGTTGTCAGCATTAACGAAATATTACTGTGACAGGTTTAAAGATCATTACAAATTTACTTATTTTTAAAATAGTAATCCAAATGCTATGATGGTTGGTTGGTTGAAAAATGAGGATGCTAATGTTCAACACAGTTGATACTGTTGATGATTTAACTGTTATTACCAAAATTATAGCTTCTCCTAACATATAGTTGTTAGAGCTTGTATAATCTCTATGTACAATTAGAGACAGACCTATTGAACTTGTCGAATCGTTAATGAACTTTAAAAGCCAAATATTTTGGGTAAATTGAACTTCTGAATAAAAACTAGGGCGGTGCGAATGTTATTTATTTGCTAATTTCAGGGATCTTTAAAAATAATTTGTCCTAAATTTGTTTGAGCTACTTAGTCCCGTTCTGTAGTTATCCAGAGTCGTCCCTCGGACAAATTTCTCCACAGCCATAGGGAAAGGTACTTCTTGAGTTAAATATTTCCTAAAATACGAACGATTAAGAAAATTAAAAATAAAGTATCATTTCATTATTATCGATGCTATTAATGATATGATTAGGCTATTGATTATGTCATAAGGTATATAACTACAACGTTGATGGGTTTTTAGTGCATGAATCGTTCAAATGGTCATTTAGAATGAAAAGACCACGGAGTGCTATTAAATTAGAGGGTGAAAATTGGAGATAGGGGTGAAAATGCACCTCTTTCAATTTTTTAATTGTAGCTCGAAAACGAAGCAAAATTTCGCTGTAGTTCATCGGGAAAATTATTTAGAGAATTGAATTTCTCATCGAAATAGCTTATAAAATTTAAAAAGAAAATTTTACGCAAAATAATCGTTAATAAACAATTTGAAAAAAGCAAAAAATTCAATTTTTTTTACTTTTTTGCCTCTAGTTTTTTTTTTTGAGAGATTTGATCTATAAAAATATCGTGTAAAACAATAAATAATGGTACTTCTCTCTTGAGTATTTTCGTGTTTTTTTTTAATTTATGAGCACCCTATACATCAAATCTAAGGTGTTTGTATGACAAGTCTAATTTTTTCGAGGAACTTTTTATAAAGAGTGACATTTTTCGATACAGTCAAAAACAAAAGAGTTTCTCCTCTTGTCAACTCCATCCGTTGACACACTGTATATACATTATTAATAAACTTTATTGTACTTAAATTCTCAAGTTTTTACTAAATTATTTTATTAAAAAAGTAAAAAAATCAAAAAATCTTATTTTTTGCTTCCTTTAAAATTGTTTATTAACGATTTTTTGCATAAACTTTTTCTTTTACATTTTTTAAATAAGCCATTTCGGTGAGAAATTCAATTCTCTACAAAATTTTTCCTATGAACTATAACGAAATTTTGCTTCGTTTTCGTGCTGTATTTAAAAAACTGCAAAAGTGCTTTTCACACTTATTTTTTCATTTTTAATGACCCTTCGAACAGGTCATGTGATGAAAATCCTTGAACGTCTTATTTCCTTCCTTTTTTGCAAAAAAATGAGAATTAAAACGTATAAGGGTAAATGCGACGAAAATTGAAAAAATGACTAAGTTTGAGCGGCCTTATATCAGTCAATTTTCATCAAAAAATACTCTACAATCTCTTGTTTTGAAGGAAATTTTATATACTTTTTTTTCTATGAAGCAATGCCTGTACCTATCTCTGCTCAGAAAAAAGTTATTTGCATAAAAGTAAAGAAAAACAAAAAATTGAATTTTTTGCATTTTTTTGTTAAATTGTTTTTAATATATTTTGCAGTAAATAATTTTTTTAAATTTTTTAAATAAGCTATTTGGAAAAATGTATCTCGGGGGTTCTCGCGGGTGCTGATTCCGAATCTGAGGGTGAAAAATATCCCCTGTGCTCGTGGAGGGTAGTGCTGGCAAAAACCGGAAAAAAGTGAAACCGGTTAACCGGGTTCCGTAAAAACCGATTTCAGATAAAACCGGTTAGTCGAATTGTTGCTAAAACCGGTTATTCGAATAACCCGTTACTTGAATCGCCAAAACCGGATATCTGAAAATCGGTGCTTTACAAAGACAGACCCGGAGAAATGGATGTTTAAAAAAAAAAGGTCTTGACAAAACTCTGGAAGTCAAATTTGTTTACAAAGAAATCGATCTCCAAAAAAAAAAGGTCAATTGCAATCGGACAAAGGGGGCGGTGGGGGGGAGGGGGGGTTATAATATTCATGAACTGGTAACATGGAATAATGAGTATTTTGGGGATAGAAAATTATAATGTGTATAAATATACTTTTATACTTTAGAACAATAAATATATTTAAACAAATTATCAGCCTTATCCTTTTTTTTCCAACCGAATTTTTTAGATTGAGTTTTGTCCTATGATTTTCCATTAATTTATATTCATCCTTCTTAGAAGATTAACGCCCTTGCCCAAAATTATCAGAAATAGTCATCGGACGCATTTGGCAGGGTCAGATTCGAAATCAGCACCGGCAGAAAACCCCGAAATCCATTTTTCCAGTTATTTCGGGAACTTTAGATTTTTTCACCCGGAAGTCGCCCTCCGGGGGGTCGAGTGGACTGGATATATGCATATTCGAATTCTGCGCCCCCCAAAACCCCCGAGTACCAATTTTTGCGGTATTTCGTGCACTTTGGCAAGTTTCTCGGATGCGATACACTTCTAGATGCACTTCATGCACCCGCGATGCATTTCCGCCACTTCCGGATAATAAAAAAGGCGGGACTTTTTTCCGACGGTCTTTCTGAATAAAATACAAAAAACCGCATTCAAATCGGACCGGGCCGCGAAAATCTAGATATTTTTCTCTTTATTGCCTGGTCTATTTTAAGACGTAATCAATAGCCTATATAGGCCTAGATGCTTACCAATTATTTTCATCAATGACGCTGTGCACTTTGGGCGTGTCCATGCCATTAAACTCGAATGACATAGCCACGGTGTACGCACCAGCGTCTTCCACCACCAGCCAGTCGCCACTATTCAATTTGGGAAGCAGAATATTCTTCGCTAGTTTGTCCCAGGAATCACATGTGGGTCCCCAAATGACGGTGGGATAGAGTTCGCCGCCGATTTTGGTATTTAGTGGTTGGAACGAGTAATTCTCGTCGAATAGAATTGGAATGAGTCCTCCGTATACCCCAACGTCAACGTAGTAAGCGTAAGATCTCTCGTTAGTCTGGGTTTTTGTGGCTTTTAGTGAGTGGATACTCGTAACTAGAGTAAAAGCGGAATTGACGTAGTACCGACCGGGCTCAGATGTAATACGGACTGTCGGATCAGGGAAGTATTCTTCTATGGCCTCGTTTATAATTCCGCCAATCTAAAAAAAATGGGGTGTTTGCATAAAAAAATGTGTAGTGTTTTATTATTGACTACTGTTCTACAATGAAAGTTAATAACTGTACAAATAATTATGCTGATTAACAAGTGTAAACATGACTAATTTTTTACCTGGAACATAAAAATTTTATGGCAAGATGTATGCAATATGTAATAAATAAAATTTTTAATAAACATTAAATGTTCAACAATCAATTGTAAATTGTTTTTTTGAATTTGACTTATCCAGGTGTAAGCCGGATTTCTTCATTTCAGTTCTGAGTTAATATAAATTTCTAAATTAATAAATCAAAATAAACGGCTAAAATGACATCTTTCTTAAATTACCTTTTCCTTTGATAAAAATAAAATATCTACACCACTGGTGCCATAGACTGATTCAGTGTTTTAATTTTTATGGAATACCAATTTGTATTGGGAAATATAATGTTGGTTGCCTATCGTCGCGGTTACGTGGGTCTCGGACATTAATGAAGGCCCTGTATTTTTTTCCAGGTAATAATTTCTGCAAATTTAACATTAGGCTATCACAGAATGCTTGGACTATAAGAGTTTAGTCCAGGCGGTATCTGTCTTACAAAGGGTGTACTTGGGTAAAACGCATATGATCGGAAATTTTTGCTTTAACGGCTTCTAAATAACATCAGAAATGATAATTTTTCTATGCAAATAAAAAAAACGTGGGCTTAATTGTTATTACAAAAAAGTATAAAAAAATAACAAAAAAAATCATTTTTTTCTTGGATTTCTCGTCGACAACTTAGCAACTATTCATTTTAGACAAAAATGGAAGAGGAAAAAAAGTTTTGTAATTAAATTTTGAACAAGATAGAGTTAGTTGCAATTCGAAAAAATAATTATTGTTGTTGCAAAAATCGGAAAAATCATTTAAAAAATTGCAAAAAATGCTAGTTTATTTGTCAATTTTTTTCAGACACTTGAATAATACCTAGGATCTTCATACTTTTCCCAATTAAACTTCTTAGTGCATAGAATCATCACACCAAATTTCATCCAATTCGGTTCGATAGTTTTTACATAATAATTGTTTAATTTTTTTTTTTTTTTTTAAATTAAAAAATTTTCAAAATCAAATTTCTAAAAATCTAAAGCCTTTGAATACTTGAAAATTTCACCACAAAAAGAAGAGCTCTCAAGCTTTAAAATGCTTTTTGAAAAATTCAAATCGGACGATTAGGTGAGCCGTGGTGATTGTTTAAACATTTTCGCAATTTTCACGCTTATAAACAATTGCAATAATTTAATGTTTTTTTATTTTTTTTAATTTTAAAATATGGTTTGAAAGTACTCGGAAAGACGAGTATTTAAAAAAAAACCTGATGATCCGCCCATTATTTTCGGAGTTATAGCCCGTTAAAGTTAACCCTTATTTACAGCAAAACTATAAGGGTATAAGGGCTGTTTTTTGAACTAATAGGTTTGTCATTCCGAGTACTTTCCAGATATAAATTTTCAAAATTTGCAATCACGGGCGTCCCATTTAAAATGTCACTCAAAGATATTCAAGACCGCGTGAAATCAATGAGGTATCAGTGGTGGGGGGAGCAAACACACAGCTACTCCGATCTGAATTCTCGAGTTCAAAACTGCGACGCTCGGAAAAATTTCACTTATCTCAGCTTCTAATGGACCAATTTCGATGATTTTTTTTTAAATCGATGTCTCGCAACTTAAAAAATTCAATTATCATATTTTCAACTACCTTTTATTATTAATTATTGGACTTTTGACATGCCGATAAACAGTTACTTTAAAAAATGATTAATTTATTATGTTTATTTATTTACTATGTTAATATTCACGACCAAAATTTTTGCATGTTGCACCAGGTAATACTAGTAAGTTTGTTTAAATATTATAAAATTGTTTAAACAATAATTATTTAAATAAACAACTGAAAATTGGTATTAATTTTTAGTTGTACGATAAATTTCTAAAAATCTTTCAAAAAAAAATAAATTGTGAATAATTATAATTTTAATTTTTTCGTTTACTTTTAAAATATTTATCTAAAATTTATTTTTTATTTATAAAAAAAAGTATAAGAATCTTTTGGATACTTAATTAATACCAACAACATGGTGCAACATGCAAAAATTTTGGTCGTGAAAATTAACATAGTAAATAAATAAACATAATAAATTAATCATTTTTTAAAGTAACTGTTTATCGGCATGTCAAAAGTCCAATAATTAATAATAAAATGTAGTTGAAAATATGATAATTGAATTTTTTAGTTGCGAGACATCGATTTAAAAAAAAATCATCGAAATTGGTCCATTAGACGCTGAGATAAGTGAAATTTTTCCGAGTGTCGCAATTTTGAACTCGAGAATTCAGATCGGAGTAGCTGTGTGTTTGCTCCCCCCACCACTGATACCTCATTGATTTCACGCGGTCTTGAATATCTTTGAGTGACATTTTAAATGGGACGCCCGTGATTGCAAATTTTGAAAATTTATATCTGGAAAGTACTCGGAATAACAAACCTATTGGTTCAAAAAACAGCCCTTATAGTTTTGCTGTAAATAAGGGTTAACTTTAACGGGCTATAACTCCGAAAATAATGGGCGGATCATCAGGTTTTTTTTTAAATACTCGCCTTTCCGAGTACTTTCAAACCATATTTTAAAATAAAAAAAAATTTGAAAAAACATTAAATTATTGCAATTGTTTATAAGCGTGAAAATTGCGAAAATGTTTAAACAATCACCACGGCTCACCTAATCGTCCGATTTGAATTTTTCAAAAAGCATTTTAAAGCTTGAGAGCTCTTCTTTTTGTGGTGAAATTTTCAAGTATTCAAAGGCTTTAGATTTTTAGAAATTTGATTTTGAAAATTTTTTAATTTAAAAAAAATAAAAAAATTAAACAATTATTATGTAAAAACTATCGAACCGAATTGGATGAAATTTGGTGTGATGATTCTATGCACTAAGAAGTTTAATTGGGAAAAGTATGAAGATCCTAGGTATTATTCAAGTGTCTGAAAAAAATTGACAAATAAACTAGCATTTTTTGCAATTTTTTAAATGATTTTTCCGATTTTTGCAACAACAATAATTATTTTTTCGAATTGCAACTAACTCTATCTTGATCAAAATTTAATTACAAAACTTTTTTTCCTCTTCCATTTTTGTCTAAAATGAATAGTTGCTAAGTTGTCGACGAGAAATCCAAGAAAAAAATGAATTTTTTTGCTATTTTTTTATACTTTTTTGCAATAACAATTAAGCCCACGTTTTTTTTATTTGCATAGAAATATTATCATTTCTGATGTTATTTAGAAGCCGTTAAAGCAAATATCTCCGATCATATGCGTTTTACCCAACCCGAAACAAGTACCGCCTGGACTAGTGGGACATTTCAGTAAGGTCATTTTTATAATTTCTTTGATATTGCAACAAAATTTGCTCCATTTGGTGTTTAGCATTTTTCCCTAGAAGAAATTATCCTGCACCTATTTGATAAACACTTACCTCCTTAATGGATGTACATTTTTCTCCGGGAAATCCCCCACCTATATCCAACAAATTAAAATCATAACCCACTTTGGCGGCCTCGTCGAAGACGTGTCTCGCCGCAGCGAAAGCGCTTTTGAATATCGAAAAATTTTTGCTACCGGAACCAATGTGAAAGGCCACCCCTACAACATTTAGGTCCAAAGAAAAGGCAGTTTTCAACAGGTCCGCAGCCTCAGTTTCATAGTCACATCCGTATTTCTCCCCGAAGACGTACAACGCCGTTAAATCGTCGCATTTGATTCGAATGAGCAACCTGAAACAGATTTGTTGTCGAAATACTGTTTTACTTTTACTTTAAGTTGAAATATACTAATAGGCCAAGCAAATAAAATTTTTACTCGAAAAAATTCCTATCCGCGATATTATTGTAAAATTGTCTAAAGGAACATAATACAAGCCATCTTTCATCTCGTGAGTCAAAAAATGTTATTAGCTAACTTTTCTATTTAAACAAATAAGTTAGGTAAACAATTTTTTCACTTTGCAGGGAAAACCATCAATTTAAACGAAAAGTGACTCGCAGACAGCTTATAGGGAATAAAATTATCTACAAAATCAGACTTGTTAAATTAAAATGGGTTAATAAACAAAAAAGTTATTGCAAAAAAACAAGAAAAGTACCCATTTTTTAATTTGTTGATAACTATCGCATTTATTGTTGAAATTTTATAAAACCCATGACAAGTTGAGGGTTTTGTCATACTTTAAAAGTGTGCCAAAAGTGGGCGCTGTAATTGCAATAGTTTTCGCACAATTCTATTTATTTATAGCGGAGGCTCCATAAGTTATGAACTTTAAGCCTCTGTACAGGCGTTAATTTTCAACCAACATGATTCTGAAAGCGTCATTGTAATCTTGAATGACGTAATTAAGCGACCTATTAAAAATATCACCGTTTTTTTTGACATTAACATTATCAAATTGTGCATTAAAAGACAGTGCGTTTTCGCTTATAAACAATTTGAATAAAATTGTTGCTATTTATGCTACCTCACCGAAAATAGATGCAATGGATGGCTCGCAAAAAAATACAAATTTAAAAAAAAGTACCCTCTACGACCGACAAGAGCCAAGATAAGATTTCTTTTAAAATCGTAGCGCAATTGTTTATAAACATTAAGGCTTGAATTTTTCGCAAAATAAAGTTTACGACGTAAACTACGATTTCCCGTGAATTGCATTGAAAAATGTGGAAAATTAACGACTCACGAGCCCTTTAAAGAGAAGGTACTTGCTAAGTAAACTGTCCGGCGGCCGGCGGCGTGGTGGTGGGGGAAGTGCGCGCTGTAAATTTTGCAATATCTCGGCTTCTATTCATCGTAGAAACTTTTTTTTTTTTTAAACTGGGGTAGCTCGACGAAAAAATAACAATGGGCATATTTACGAATTCGTAGAATAGCCCTGAACCCCAGAAAAAATGCATCTTTTATAATTATTTTTTTTTAATTTACAAAAATGTCACAAAAATTATTGTTAAACGAAATATTAATTAAAATTTCAATTTCGGAATTATTTTACTATTATTAAATAAATAAATGAAGCTATCGTTCATTTAAAAAGTTATTTCTTTTACATATTAAGGCAAAGTAAACTTGTTTTTTCAATATTTTGTTAGCTATTTAATTACGATTTAAATGTAAAATTAAAGTAAAAATTCACAAATTATTTTCAAATTATTATTTATTGTTAAAAGATTTAAAAAAGAATAAAAAGCATTTGAATTTATTGCAAAATTCTCAAAATTAAAAAATATTAATAAAAATAATGCGGTCGATAAAATTACAATTTTAACTTCTTGAAAGGCGGTGAATTTGATTCCATATCATTTTCTTCTTCTTTATCATATGAATCTTTGCAGCATAGTCAAAATTGCATTTTTTCTGGGGTTTGAGGCTATTCTACGAATTCGTAAATATGCCCATTGTTAGTTTTTCGTCGAGCTACCCCAGTTTAAAAAAAAGAAGAAGAAAAGAAGCGCGCATCAATTTGAACTTTGGATTTCATTTTTCTCGCGCGCGCGACTCGCTTGGACGAGCTTCCCCCACCACCCCGCCGGACATTTTACTTAGCAAATACCTTCTCTTTAAAAGGCTCGTGAGTCGTTCATTTTCCACATATTTCAATGCAATTCACGGGAAATCGTAGTTTACGTCGTAAACTTTATTTCGCAAAAAATTCAAGTCTTAATGATTATAAACAATTGCGCTACGATTTAAAAAAATTCTTATCTTGGCTCCTGTTGGTCGTTGAGGGTACTTTTTTTAAATTTGTATTTTTTTGCCAGCTATCCAGCTATTTTCGATGAGGTAGCATAAATAGCAACAATTTTATTAAAATTGTTTATAAGCGAAAAACTTATTAGTAACAGAAATTTTTAGAAAGCTATAACAGTACCTATAGAAATTTTTTGTGTACTATTTTTCACACATATTCTGTCTGCTTTGGAATATACCCACTCCACAATTTTTCACAAACCTGCAGATGATTTATACAAAAAAACTTTTTGCTGTGTATTTTACATTGATATAGTATTAAAGACATTGTGGTTAGTTATTCGTTGATATAAGATCTTTTTGCTTCACCATCAAGGAAACTAGCATTTTTTATTCCAAAAAGGTTACTGCTTTGTTAAATTTATTGCCTCCTTATTATTTTTTTAAGTTTAAATAAAATACTATAACTTCAAAAACTACGGTTTGTTCTAGTGTCCGACACTAAATCGTACATTCCAGGGTCGTACTTTCTTTTCATGTGAAAATTAAAGTAGCCAAATTTTGATAATGAACTTATCCCATACCCATACTGTTTTTTTATGAGATGGTTCCTATGCTCACACACAAACTTCCATGATGAAATAAATTATAATGGAATAAAAAATTAATATTGGAGTTGCTGATTCTCAGATCTCGAAAACGACTGCACATTTTGTACAAAATATTTATTTTAATAATTAAAACTGTCGTTTTTTAATTTTCGACAAAATTAAATTTTCTTATTAGTTTTACCTATTTTAATTTGATACTAACTTTCTATTTATCAAACTTCATAATGCTGTAACTTTATGAAAACTGAAAATTTACAGAAAAATAAAAAAATTGCTGTATCCCTAAAAATTGGTACCACCCTTTGTTATCAAAATATGACCGCGTTAACTTTCACTTACCGCTACTGCAATTGAATTATACTTCTATTATGTACAATATAAAGATGTATCAATCAGTAATTTAATTTCAAATAAGTACATATTTTAAATATGCCATCGTTTCCTCTATAGTTTAAAATTTTCTAAATCCGTCCCTGGTTTTTACGTCATGTGCGATTTACCCACGGACCTTAGACCTACAAGTAAATACAACGTATTCTTGGATTCCGTGATAACGGCGCCCATGAAGGACTATGTAAAAAAGTAAGACACAAACAACTTCCGCAAACAATCCTTTTCAGGACATGTAGCATCAAAATCCCACTTACTTTGCATTCGGATGAAAACTCTTAATTTTGTACAACTCATGCTCGTTGTCGAACGTCATCAAATCCACCCCTACCGCGGCGGCATATTTTAAGTACGACTCCTTCTTAGTCGGATTGGCGTACACTATCCGGCTTGGATGGACACCCAATGAAAGCACTTTCCTGATTTCTCCTTCCGAGGCACAGTCAAAACCGATGCCAAGAGCTGCCAAAGTCTCTAGCACTATCCTACTGTCGTTGCATTTAACAGCTGCAAATTAGAAACATCGTTGAAAAGTTCTTTGGCATATGTTTGTGTATTAATTAGATATACCATTTTTAGGTTGATTATTTATTATTAGCTATTTAATTCAAATAGATTTTTTTCGTGTACCCATTCTAGCCACTCAAGACAGGAGTATCTTTTTAATCTAGAAAACCCTGAAATTTACGATTTTGATATTAATAACACATTTGGTCTAGGGACAATCGTCAGATATCAGAATAACCTTGCATTCGCGTTCAGTGACCTCAAAAACATTCAGACGAATTTTTTCAGATTTTTCAGACTGATTTTAACTTTTCTATCGGAAAATACTTTCTTGAATTACCTTGAATGACTTCTAGGGTGTATCGTAGGGGTAAGCAAACCTCGGATTCGGGTTCAGTGACCTCTAAAACATAAGCATGAATTTTTTCAGATTTTTTGGAGGTCATTTCTTGATTTGACCTTCAAGTCACCTTGAACCTGACGTGATGAAGCTTAAATAACCTTGGATTCGCGTTCAGTGACCTCAAAAACATTCAGACAAATTTTTTCAGATATTTCATACTAATTTTAACTTTTCTATCGAAAATACTTCATGAATGATCTTGAAATGACCTTGAATGACCTTTAAGATGTATCGAAAGGGTAAACAAACCTCGGATTCGGGTTCAGTGACCTCTAAAACATAAGCATGAATTTTTTCAGATTTTTTGGAGGTCATTTCTTGATTTGACCTGTTCTTATAAGAGTTAATACTTAATCTAAGTTTGAAACAAAGGATCATCTTCAAAGAGCCCTAGGTCCATTAGGAAGCAGTTTTGGATAAGACGATTTATGTCAAATCGATAAGAAGTCTCATCTCTAGAATTTGTCGTCTTCGTTTGTCGGTTTAATTTCCGATTTTATACGTGTTACTTACCGTAATGTGTGGTGACACGAGGCATAGTCTTTTTCCAATTTTGATATTTCCGGATGAGATCGGGAACATCACAAACGTAGAAAGGGTTCTCTTGAACGCCACTGAGTGCAATTTTTCTAATCACCGACCATACATCTAACTCGGGAAGAATTTGAATACGATCGTCCTCGTCCTTAGTATGGTGATTGTTTAAAAATGCCATCGCTTTCTTCTACCTGCAATAATCGAACAGTGAAATAATTGAAAATGAAAAGACATTTGCAATAGGCACCAGTGTAAAAAATTGCAAGGTTACCAGAACAATAATAATAGTTGATAAAACAGTGGCGCATCCAGCATTTTGGTTTGGAGAAATTTGTTAAAATGTAATGGTTTATTAAATTTAGTTTGACCCATTCCTAATCAGTTAGAACAATAGGATCAGATTATTTTCTCGAGCACATAAAAATTTAACACCGTATTCAAAACCGTTTGATTTAATAACAATGTAATAAAACCTCATATTATTTACTTCATGGCAATATTATTTATAGATAATGACACTGACTGATTTCAGTAAATTATAACTGTTACAAAATGTATGCATGAGATTCAATGTAGGTTGCTCAAGATATACAAGCATGGTAAACATGTAAAGGACGATATGCTGGTTGTCTACTAAAATTTGTAAATTATTAAATAACTTATTGTGTAAATGTTTATCAACTAATTTTCAATTATATAATGTTGTATGTAATTATCATACTAGGAAAATAGATAATTTAGACATTGTTTGTACAAATTTAATGTCAGCAAGGAAAATGTTTTTGATAGAGGAATATTGAAATATAACAACGTGCTATTTGAGTAATGGTGAGATATAACTTATGAAGCATGTGTCATATTTTTAAATGTCATTGCTAAGTGGCACATGTACCATTAACAACAAGTGTTCCATACGTTTAAACGCAAATTATTTGAATATTTGATAAGGATCTAAAATAGTTCAGAATTTTTTAATATTTCAATTATTATTGGATTCTACAGGGTTGGCCAAATGTTTCGGAACACCTGTGTATAGGGTGAACCATAAGTTTGACAAAATTTTTTGTAGTATTTTACTAATGATGTACTTTATTTTCCAACATCTACTTTATTTTTAGAGATACGGCTTTGTCGGCAGTTTTTTAAAATGGACCGCCCTGTTAATGTTTTTTAATGTTGAATAAAATAAATAAAGAGTAAAAGTTTTATTTAATGAAAATGAAATTTGTTATTGCAAAATATTAAAAAATATATTATATTAAAAAAGATTCATTATAAATGTTCAAACTGATGACCTGCGGCAGCAGGACAAAATGCTAATCGATCAACGAAGGTTCTTAAGGAATTTTGAATGGCATGCTGTGATATTTCTTGAATAGACATCATCCAACACTTCTAACGACTGAGGTTTGGTTTTTTAGACATTTTAAATGACCCCAAAGGAAATAGTCTAACGGACTTAAATCTGGCGATCGCGGTGGCCATTCAATATATCCTCTTCACCCTAGCTTTAATCAGGCGCAGCTCCATCTTATTGGTACCAAATGTCAATAGACAGTAGTTCAGGATTTGCTTGGTTTGGAAATAAACGAATCAATGCTGGAACAATTTGCTCACACAAAAGTTGTAAATAACGATTAGAGTTCAAATTTTCTCTAAGAAAGAATGGACCGATGATGTGTCCTCTGATTATGCCCATCCATACATTTAATTTCTGAGGACATTGAGTTTGATTTTTTTCTATCCAATAACGACAGGTATGTCGATTTATAAAACCGTTCAAGCAGAATATCGATTCATCGGAGAAACGTATATTACTGACAAAGTTTCCATTATTCTCAATGTTGTTCATCATTTCCTCACAAAATTGCATCCTTCTAACAAGGTCATCCTCATCTAATTCTTGTACTAAATGTACTTCATACGGATGAAATTTATTTTTGAGCAATATCCTCCTTACTGATCTCTCGCTAATATTGTGATATAAGGCTACTTGAGGCACTGAAGTTTTAGTTATTTTTGTAGATGTGTGTTCTTCTCAACTTCTCTAGTGACTTATCTTCATTTATAGCTGATTTACGTGCGCCGGCAGTTAAAATAAGTTATTTAAAAAAAATTAAATTGAATTAAACTTTGACAAGCTCTTAATCTTAAAAAAATTGATATTTCAAAAAAAGTTCCTTACTAACTACCATCATTTTATCATGCTGAGTATCCCCTTAATTGTGTGATACATTTTAGAAACACCCAACACCCTGTATATAGTGTCTGTTAGTGTTCCTTTGAAAACTGAGGATTACGTTTGATTACTATTTAATAACTAATTAGGATAAATTATTATTTACCTTAAAATACATCTAGCGAATCTTCCGTGTATGAAAATTGCAAGTATATAAATATTTGACCACTGTAGTGTACTATTTTATTGTTTGAAGGACATATACATCAACTGTTTTTGTTCGTTAGAAAAATAATATTCCGCGTTATAATCAAACAAAAAAAATGATAAGGGAATCACAGCTGCATCAACTGCAAATTTTATTACTGTCTCTACATTCGAACTAAATGTGATTTATATGGCAGAAATTCCCTAAAGATAAACTGAAATTAACTAATTCTTTTGACATATTGCATAAAAGGTCACAATAAAAAGTTACGAGGGGGTTATCTTGTTATCTATTTAAGATTGAGACAGACAAAGATTCGTCGAAGTTATTTTACCAGAGACTATGTCGAATAGTAGTTTATTAGGCTGTATATAAATAATAATCGTCATATTTAATAACAACCGAAGTTGTGATAAACTATTGTTTTGATACTCCAATTACGATGAATTAATATGACATTGTGAATTAAATAAATCACTGCATAATTTTCTGCACACTTAGTTATATTATTTTTTTTATCTTTCAATGTAAACAAGGATCTAATCAACATTTCTTCAGTCAGATATAGTTTGGATTAAACCAAACACAATATAAAAAAGTTTACAATTATAGAATTATATATATTATATAGGACTTGTATAGCATTTGGTTCTTACCACGAGTAAGGAAATTTAATATATTATCCTGTACTGTCAATGAGAAATTGTAAGGACTGATGACGGACAGTTTCACAACTGAACAATAACTATGATAGTTTTTTATGTTAGATAAATAATTTCAAATATTTACAAAGAAGATAAGTTTCACAGAACAATGAGATGGATCACACATTTTATATTTGCCAGCATGTCTTAAGCGGTATTGTAGACTATTGTTGCAATAAAATATACGTTCACTAAAAATTCTTTGTCTTTCTTTATGTTCTTGGGGTGCACAATATTGCATTGAGAGTTTGAAGGAGTAGTGTGAAAATATAGTTTAAGTAGGTAACTCTTTAATTTTTATTTTTTAATGATATCGATGTTGATAATAGCAAGATTGGTATTCAAGAAAATGAATTTGCTGAATATTATCATTGATTAAATATTTTCAAGTGTTCAAATGTATCTACTTAATAAAAATACCTACTCATAGATTTGAAATATTTATTAAAAACATTTCATGATTTTAATAAAAAGTGTTTGTCGCTATTTTTTTTAAAGCACTGTGTTGAGTCTGTGACAACAGCTCGAACTATCTTACTGATTGGGTAAGCTCATTCTTCGCGGTATTACGACAATTACTTACTTTACACATTGAAGTAGTGATATCGATCCAAAATATTTTCCAGCAATCGCGAGTATTAAGAAGTTTCTTATTAAGTAATCGTTACTGATTACTCATCACCTGCGCACTGTATGGTAGTTATAGAGCTAGTTACAAGAACTAGACAATCACAACGAAGTCCCATTACCAATCAATTTCAAATATAGTAACGTTACATATGCAATAGCATCTTATTATCTAGTAGAACTACTTGGTATACAAATATAAAGAGTTTCACAATTTTTAATATAGTGTATTTGAGATATTTAATTCCTAGTCCCTAGGGGACTTAAAAGTCCCTACATTTTTTAATATTGTAACAAAAGCCTGGACGCGTAGTAATTTATTGGGGCGGTTTTCAGGGAGACTGGGGCTATTAGGCCTTCTAAGAACAACCACGGTCAGACGAGGGTGGTCTGAAGAGCTTTTGTCGCGGAAACTAATAAATTTACAGACTGATAATTAGAACAATCTCAAAACACTTCGGGTTAAGTAGCTTCTTGAAAACGTATCATCTGTTGCGCCCGGAAGACGCCAGCGTAGTCTGGGACGGAACGAAGAAATCGATATTTCTAATAACGCGCGAAATGCATTCGAAAGAACACGTAGGAATTCCAAGATATTTAAAGTTGTTAGAATGTTGTCAGGAAAATAATAATAGGTCAAATAGCTGGTTTTTAGGCGGATTTTCCAAGCTGTAAGAATAGATTAAATGAGATCGACTAATCCGTCCCGTATTTCTATGCGGAGTCACTAGAGGAAGGCTAGGGTTATTTGTAAGTTTAGTTTCAAAATTATTTAGGTAAATGTAAAATCAGTCAATTAGAGAAGGATTAACAAGGCATAGTTATGCTAAAACGTCTCGATATTCAGGGTTTCCGCCAGTAAGATAAGAACGGCAACGTCTGGACCCAAGAAACGGGCGTGTCGAAGCGAAGTGTCGAATTCAGGAGAGATCTCCGAAGAATAATGGACAAAGTCATTCCAAATTTTGCTGTGGATCGCGCATTCCCTGAATCTCGATAAGCTCTGTCGCGTGTCAATAAACTAATTAATAATGTTGTTCGAGCCCGTTGTGTCGTTATTTTGTTTGTTTTTTGAAATCCAGACTCGTTATGATACTGGTCATAACGATATATAGATAAATAAAGAAATAATCCATCAGGTTACAATATAATCGTCTTAAGTCCGAGCTATCATTTATTAATTTCTTTAAAAATTGTATATAATTTTATTGTTTCACTTCAAAACTTTGAAATAAATAATTAAAACAGTTTTTTAAATTAAAAAAAGTATTAAATAATTATTTGACATATTGGTACTTTGCTATAATAAGTGTAACTGACTGCAACTGAAATAATAATAATTTAATATCAATTTTATGCATATTCTGTTTCTCAACCTTCATATTGCCGTAACATTTTGAAATATAAAAATTCTGAGGGATATAAAAGACGCCTGTATATTAGATAGTACGAAAAAAAAAATCTGCAACGCTTTTCGAGATCCCAGTGTCGGCAAATCCTAATACACATTCTATTGTTATCGTATTTTTATTTTATTGTAAATACATTAAGCTAATTCAAACAAATTCGGAAATTTCTGTTAATTTTACATTCGCTATCATTAACGTCGTTTGTTTACAAGTTATTAGTTGAGTATGTTTTATACATGTCGCTGATTATTTTAGCCATAGGCACATTTCCAATCGTTTTTTTAAAGAATAAATCCTCGATCGTATCGTCTAGGATACAATTTAAAGACAGCACAAGTTGCATCAATTCCTTGAACCGTAACGGTTGGTTTGGTTTTACCTCCTCGACAAATTTATTCAATTTCAGCTGCAGGTAATTCCTTACAAAGTTTATATAAACGGCATTAGTTAACATTTTAATTCGATCACTGTCACTTTTACGTTTGTTTCTCACGAAAGGACTAAAAAGCACGATCAGCCTCAGATAAGTAAACTCGTACTGATCAAGGTTAAATTGGTTAACGTCGGTCAAAAGTTCGTGGAAATCTTTCAGTTTGTGGTACTCCTTCAGCTGTAAAACTCTGCAGGTTTCTAACCAGGCGGATAGTTCCTCGAAGGGTAAGAACTGGGTCGCTCCTAAAATAAAAAGCTCTTTCCAGCATTCTTCGACGAGTAACAGTTGGTCTGTAAATGGTAGGCTTGTAAAGGCTGCGATGTTCTTGACCCATTGCATGTTCATGAAAAGAAGTTGGGCTGCGTTTTCACACAGATCGATCTCCCTCTCTATCTGTAAAAAAATAACGCCGTATTAAATTAGTACAGAGTAAAAATCAACTCCAATTTTTAGAGACACCTTAATTTTGGTGCGAAGTTAATAGTTATTTATGTTTGTAATCAGTGTATTATACATAACAATTAATTGAAGGTAAAATGTCAATGTCGACTATGCAAAGCTGTTATAACACACAAAATTCTTATTAGTACAGTCATTGAAGCTTTACAGGTCAGAATTCTTTGAAACGGAACCGATCGACTTGCAGATAGTTAGAGAAAAGGTCAATGAACAGTAGTGACATAGCGCCGATTGACGCTTCCACCCTGTTGGGTGTTGACACCCCCTTCTCGGGAGTGGAAATTTATTTTTCAAAAATAACGCTGAAAATCGATAGAGAATCAAATTTTGAGCAAAAATATTCGAAAAATTTTTTTGAGAAATCAATATTTTTTTAGTTATTCATAATTGAAAACACTTTTTCAAAGTATTTTTCGCGATTAACTCAAAAACTACGCATTTTATTAAAAAAAGTGTAATGAACAAAAATGTAGCTTATAAATAAACAAAGAAAATCGTTTTTTAAAAAGTGTTGTACCTCCTACACAAAGCGAAATATAGTTAGTGGAAGGGGACATGTTTTGGGGGGGAATACTCGAATCGATGTATTCAACGTCAAATAACGGAAAAAAGATTAATTTTACGTGTATAACGCTCCTGGAGTTTTTTGTAGTACTCAAAAAGACCTTCAAAATGAGCACTTATAAAAGTTAATTAGAGCAAAATTGAAGGAGTTATCGTCAAAAACAGATGGGTTGCTCATATTTTTTAAGGAAAAATGAGCAGTAAACGCTGTACCATTTCCATCAGAATTAAAATTAATCGTAGACCCTTTACAATTAGTTTTGTTTTAGTGTTTTTCATACGATCCTGAAGTTAGACCGGTTTAGAATGCGTATTTTTTTAATAATGTACGGTAAAAGTTGAAAACGTATTTTTCATTATTCAAAAAAAATTGCCTTATTTATATAATAACTCTGAAACTATGAAAGATACGTAAAAAATGATAGACAACAAAAATGTAGCTTTTTTTTCAACAAATATTTTGCTTTTTTTATTCCTATAGCATAAAAAATAAAGGAGATATCGCCGCTTGAAGTATCCATTTTAGTGAAAAAACGACCTGTCTCGAGCCCTTCGATCCTTTCCCTTTAAAAAACGAAGGACTTAAAAGGTTTTATATGCAAACGATCTTACAGCTCTTGAAATTATCTTTAAAATGCTTTTTTGTAGGATACTATAGCTTCAAAATTAACCGAGTTATGGTAAAAAAACCAATGACATTTTTTCGGAGCAAAATAGGCTTTCTCATTTTTATATATTATATATTATATTATACAAATAAAATAAGTAAAAAAATTTAGTGTGATTATTTATATGCAGCGTAGCAATTTTTTTTATGATTGATTATATTTAAAAATCGATTATAATAAAAATATTTTACATTAATATTGGTAAAAGGGTAGTTTATAAGAGTTGAAAATGGCAAAAGTAAAATATTCTTTCATAAACAATATAAGGGAATTTTTATTTTAAATTATTGCACAATTATAGCATTCCAAGATTTAAAACGTAATTTTTTATCATTTTTTTAGCACAGGGCTGATTTATAAGGGTTGAAAAGTGTTATGAGATACACATTCTTTCATAAGCAATGAGGGAATTTTTATTTGAAATAATTGCACCGTTAAAGCATTATCATTTTTTATCATTTTTGTCAATACAGGTAGTTTTTAAAAATTGAAAGGGAAAAATTCTCTTATTAGTTATAAGGTAACTTTTATTTTAAATAATTGCACGATTTATTTATTCCAAATCTTTAAAAAGAAATTTTTATATCATTATTTTTTGCATAGGGGTAGTTTTTAAGGGTTAAATAAAGGGTCGAAAATATCAAATATATCATAAAACATGTTCGAAAACATGGAACATTATTTAATCTTTATGCTTGAACAAAATTTGTATCAATAAAATGCTTAAAACTTAATTTTTTTCAATTAGGGCTAGTTTTTACCCCTAAGAAACAAAAAACGTCAATCGGGCTTATATCACTTTTGAACGAAGTTGAGCCTTATTCTAAATTTTCATGCAAATCCATGCAGTTTCAAAGAATTCGGAGGTTACAGCTGATTTTCAGCTTCAATGACTGTACTATATCCATTTATTAATGAAAATAAATTAATGAAAAAATTGTAAGACTGTGTCCAATTTTTAAGTTTTTTTCCTTATTGTCAATCTGGGTGGTCGAGGGGTTGTATGCATGAACCTTAGACTTTAAAAAAGCCCGAAGAAAAGAGTCCAATGGTGTTAAATTGCATGATCTGCAGTAATTTGACTGGTCCTCACAAAAAACTGGATTATAATGTCGCGATAACGAGCACCATTAAGTGTTACTGCCTTATCAGTTGCATTTTGGAAGAAGAATGACCCGATGATGCCTTCAGCCCAAAATCAGCGCCAAACAGTGACTCATTGTGGATGCATTTGTTTGTCGCCCAACAATTTTCTGAACCCCAAATGCGACAATTTTGTCAATTAACGAAGCCGTCAAGATGAAGATGATTTTGTTCGAAAAACCAGCATCTGCTTGTTGTTCCATAATTCATTCAACGCACTGCAGTAGGCTTCATTTCTTGAGTCATTTGAATTTTGAAGCATGAAGATGCAAATCTTTCGTGAGAATGCGATGGCGAGAGAATTCATGTTCCTGGACTCTCAGCAACACTCTCATGGAACTGCTTCGATATTTTTTGTTGAACGACTTGTTGAAGGACGGCGAGACTGTTTAACATCAGTAATTGGTTCAGTCCCCCTGAATTTTTCAATTAATCTATTCACAATTGATGAATTGAAGATGCTGTCTTTTTTGTTCGTTGGCAAATCTTGCGCGAATTTTGGGACACCCGATATATAGAAATGGAAATATTTATAATAAATGGTTGAGTTCGAATAAAATGTTATATGTTAATATGCATTTTTTCCATTATACAAGTATCTAGTACTATAACGAATTTCATTATAATCCTGATATTAAAATACAGCATTTCAATGCTCGTATTATATTTTATAGTGTTTACTTACTCCATTTAAAGGTAGAGCACTAGACCAAGCGTATTTCAGAGAAGAGGAACTGTTACTTAAACTGCCCAAAGGTAGTTTTTTATAGGCTGCTTCACTTAAGGCATTGGATTGTGGAAGAACGGTCCCAATATCTTTACCAAACTCTTGACTGATGGTTTTGGTTTTACGAGAACCTCTCTCATGTTGGACAGCTAAAACCAGATTATAAGAGTATTAAATAATGATATGAAAGGAGATGACTTCACTAAAAATATCATTATTTTTAGGAGACTTTCAATGAATACACTGAATATCTTTGCTATTAGTGAGACTTAATTTCTCGCTTGTTCAGAAAATATTCAAGCTCTATTTATTGCAAAAAGAGCAAATTTCCGAGCGGCTTTTACTTGACCCTGGGACAATTTTTTTATAACTCTGTTTTTCACGTTCTACTTTGTTAGTTGTCAAGAGAGCAACTTAATTTCATTTTTTTGAAATTTTTCTTTTTCGATACATTTCTTTGGATGAATTTGAACCTGTCTACGATATTAACGTCTAAAATTAACGTTTAGTAATTAAACAATTACTTACAAAAAAATGAAAGAAATTGGCCATTAGATTGACCGTCTTTTCCATAAACATCATAGCTTTTTGCAATTTGCATGCGCATGCGCAATTTTGAAAAGTGATTTTTCCCCGTTCGACCTTTATTTTGCAGTTAACAATTTAGTGAAATATGACTTTAGGTACCTTAAATTGCAGGTAATTTAATTGTCTACATCATAAAATAACTAATTTTCCGATAGGCTGTCTAGATTTTCATTGGCTGTAACAAAAGTGGGAAAACACAGACAATTTTTCTTGTCCGCGTAGAGGGCGCAGCAAATTGCATACGATACTTAAAAAATCTGTATACAATAGGTGAAAGATATCAATTTTGCCATGAAATTTTATGAAAATAAGTTTTCTCTATCTCTTAAAATAAAAAAGTTAGACGGCTCTAAACTTTCGGTACTTTTCCGGTTTTTTTATGATTGTTCAAAAAGTTGGCCATGAATCTCAAAGAGTGACCGCAAAAAACCTGTGATTTTCGCCCGTTTTTTTTTGCAATTCGCAGAGAATTAAAAAAATACATAAAAATATGTTTTTGGTCGCAAATTACTTGTAAAAAACTGAAATGAGCATAGTTTTTAGTATTTTGAAAATTTAAAAAATCACCCCTACCTAAGGTTTGAAAAAATGCCAAAAATGAAGAATTTGAATATTACCAATTGATATAAATACTATTAGCATGTGAATTATCTTAATATATTTTTTTTGGAATTTTTACAATAATTATTTCTGACATTCTCTATTTTTGGGGATGATTCCACCCCCTGAGCGCGCTTAAGGGTGAATTTTCTAATTCAACATGCTTATTTTATTCATGAGAATAAATCTTTCTTTGTATCGAGAATCATTCGAAAGAAAAATTCACATGCTAATAGTTGTTATATTTATTGGTAATATTCAATTCTTCATATTGGGCGTCTTTTCAACCCCTAAATAGGGGTGATTTTTGAAAATTTTCAAAAAACTAAAAGCTATGCTCATCTTAATTTTTCTACGACGAGTAATTTGAGACCAAAAACATGTTTTTATCTATTTTCTTTAGTTCTCTGCGAATTGTGAAAAAACGGACGATTTTTGCGGTCACTACAAGCACGAAGGCCACAAAAAATGCAACAAAAAAACAGATAAAAAATTTTGAAGTATCGTATATTAAAAGTGAGATACATAGGAGTAGCCCTCTTGTAGTAGACAGCCTGTATATGTTGGTCCACTTAAAACTAGAAAGAGATCACCTTATAGCATAGTGATTCTAGAATTTACATTTTATTTACATTATTATTAAATTAAAACAATATCACTCGTTGTCAGTTCCCGAGCAAAGTACACAATCTCGCATTAATAGAACAAAAATAGTTTAAGTAAACGTTTTAGATCTATATCGATGTATATTAAAGTGTTTTCAAAACATCAGATAATAAACAGCGCTATCTGTAGATTGTATGGTATTCCATATCGTTTCTAAAGACTGCTGTTGCCCTCACATTTAAAATTATTACTGCTAAATCACCTCGCATAATTAAACGTCACATTTTTATCTTGACAAACATTCATAGGGAAAAAATTTTAAAAAGTTAGTTTAGACAGTTGTTCTTGAAATAATCAGTCTTTTTCAAATATTTTTTAAACCAGCGATTTTCTAAATAACCCAAGAAAAATATTTCAAGCACTTACGATATTGTAAGACACATTCGTTGGTGACCATAGATTTGACCTTTACCTCAATTTGCAAGGTCAGATCAAAATTTGATAAGAAATACTGTGTCTCATTTTTATGAATTGCTCATTGTCAAACTGTAGACGATCATCAATTCGAAGACTTACAGTGAAAAATTTAAGAGCCAAAGATGGTTCAACGATATTAACGTTGCCTATTTCATCAGTTTTAAGCTTTTTGTTATCTTTGTATCTTTATCTAATATATTTTTCAAACTTCACCCAGGTTTCCAATACAAACGTCGAACCGTTTGATCATACCGAACCTATTCAGAATCCAAATCAGTACTGAAATTGTCACAAATATTTGACTTCAAAGATATACGAAAGACATTAAAATTATTTTGAAAATCATCATTTAAAAAGATGCTTATTTGTTAACTTGTTGTTTTTCCTACTTAACGGAAATGGCATTTCTAACCTAATCTGAAATAGGCAAATTGGACTAACTGGACTTCAACAGAATGAACTTTTTGATCAACTTACCATCTTTATTCATCCCAACCTGCAAACATCTCCTCAAGCGGCAGGCCTTGCATTGATTTCTGTGCGTCTTGTCGATAATACAGGTGTTTTTTATCACAGCCCTGCACAAGTACTGGCGGCTGCTACGTATGGACCTCTTGAAGAAACCAGCACAGCCATCGCAAGCGAAAATGCTGTAGTGCTTTCCAGAGGAAAAGTCCCCGCAAACTTCACAGGGAATGTCTAATATCCTACCTGAAATTGAAATACTATGATAAATACGTTTTCTTCAATTGCGTTACTAATATATCACATATTGCAAGAACGAGTCTATTTAAATTAAAAAAAGTATTGCGCGCTTTGTTATATACAGGGTGGTCAAATGAAAACGAAACAGAGCCATTTTCAGGAACTGCGTCAAGATTGTAGAAAAACGCTCAGACCCGTCGATTTTAGATTAAAGGGGGACATTATTTGCTGGTATTTTTGACTCCGCCACTTTCACCCCCAAGCAAGGGTAAGCATCACCCCAAAATATTTAAATGGCATTAGGGGTTGAGTAATATTTTTTTTTAAAGCTCTTACAATTCTCTTTACAACAGACTTTAAATTTTATAATTCCGCCCAATACTTATTAAGAATTTTGATTTTAAAGTTGAAACTTATGTACAAACAATTAGTAACGGTAAAAATGTCAGTCATTCGAGTTAAGTACGCCAATGGTATAAATTTAGTATTTCTTGCGTTACATTGGTTTTTGGCGATTTGTTATCACTTTCGTAAAAAAAAACAAAATTGTAAAAAACAGAAATGAATGCTATACACACACAATGAACGTAAAATTAGTGGATTCCAAATTATTTTCTAGTATTATTTGGAAGCGTTGGTTGGTAGTTTATTTAATTGTGTTTTTGAAAATTAAACACTATGGTTTATTCCATTGCGGAAAGGGTAGATATCATTTCGCTTTACTTTATGAACAATAAATGTGCGAATAGAACAGCTCAGCTATTTAATGAACAACATCAAGATCGACATGTCAGGAGGAAGTATGTTCTAGAGTTAGTAAAAAAATTTCAAGAGACAGGGAACGTAGCCAATAAAAAACGAGAAATTGAAAAACCTATAGTTAATGAAGCTAGTGAAGTTGCAGTTTTGGGACAAGTTCATCTTGATCCTACATTAAGTACGAGGCAGCTGGCATCTGTGTCTGGGATCAATCGAACTAGCATACAAACCATTTTGAAGAAGAATAAATTCCATCCATACAAAATACATTTAGTCCAGGAACTTCATGAGGATGATTATGACCGCCGTTTGCAATTTTGCGAAATAATGAGTGAGCGAGCAGGGAACGATCCACAGTTCCTTTTTAACATCTGTTTTTCTGATGAATGCAGTTTTTTCTTGAACGGGACGGTAAATCGTCACAATTGCCGCTATTGGTCCGATTCAAACCCAAGAGTTTTTCACGAGGTGCATACACAGCAACCGGAAAAATTAAATGTATGGGCTGGAATTTTCGGTGACCGGCTGGTGGGTCCTTTTTTTCTACCTGGTAATTTGACTGGCCAAATGTATTTGCAATTACTGGAAGACGCTATTGACCCTGCCTTGACTGATATTATTGAAAATGTTCCAGAGTATGATGAAGATCATTTGATTTTTCAACAGGACGGTGCTCCTCCGCATTATGCGTTAATTGTCCGTCAGTATTTGGACCAACGTTTTCTACGGAATTGGATTGGGAGAAGAGGCAGCATTGAGTGGCCTCCACGATCACCGGATTTATCGCCCCTTGATTTCTTTTTGTGGGGATACCTAAAAAGTAAAATCTATAAAACACAGCCAGCGTCGCTGGAAGATTTGCGTCAAAGAATCGTCGACGAATGCCGTCGAATCACTCCGGAAATGCTTCGGAATGTGCGCGAACGTTTCGAACAAAATCTTTATTCTTGTATGGAAGCGGGCGGTCATCAGTTTGAACATTTAATCAACTAAGTAGTAAGTAAGCAACTAAACATAATTTAAATTTTAAAATGTAAATTTTTTTCAAAGTATTGGGCGGAATTATAAAATTTAAAGTCTGTTGTAAAGAGAATTGTAAGAGCTTTCAAAAGAAATATTACTCAACCCCCAATGCCATTTAAATATTTTGGGGTGATGCTTACCCTTGCTTGGGGGTGAAAGTGACGGAGTCAAAAATACCAGCAAAGAATGTCCTCCTTTAATCTAAAATCGACAGGTCTGAGCGTTTTTCTACAATCTTGACACAGTTCCTGAAAATGGCTCTGTTTCGTTTTCATTTGGCCACCCTATATAACAATTTGACTGTTTTTGGGGATTTTGGGCTGCTTGGTTCGACGTCGGGAAATTTGGAAAGAGGTGAAACTTTGCAAATCCCATGACGCGTCGTCCTGGGTCTCTCCGTCGCCGTCGACAGCATCTTCCTCTGTCGACGCCGGCTGTTGCGTTTGGAGAGACTTGGGAGCTTCTTGGAGCGAAATATTTTTATTATCATGTACGCCGAAATTCTTTAAATATAAGTCGTAATTCTACGTCCACATTTTTACAATTTAAACGTGTATGACATTTTTTCCTAAGTCATTGCATATGGCGGCTTAAGGTTATCGATTTGTCATCTTTCTGTGATTCGTGCAGATTTTATCTAACCACAACACTCAGCTTTTCAAGATTTAACCAAACAAATAAATTAAATTTAAAGTGGTTTATTGAGAAAGAAATCATTATCGAATCAACTTTCATATATTTACCTACGTAAAACTTTTTAAGTGGTTACGGAAATATCGATCTCAAAAATTAAATTCCTTCATATATTTTTATTCAAATGTATAAGAAATTGGAAATTACAAATAATTTTTCTAATATATGTACTTCGAAATATTAATGAAACGATTGATACACTTTCCTTTTTTTTTGGGGCAATTTAATCCACCAAAAGATCATCTAATCCAGTGGCTCCCAAACGTTCTGAAGTTACAAGCAGTTACAATCCAACGAAAAATTGTCTAACCTATTGTAAAATCTTTTATCTGCTCCCACTATAGTAAATATACTATTAATACATTGTTTTTATGGAGGTAAGTGGATTTTACCGTAGAAGTAGAAGTTGCTATGGACAACGGAAGGTAAGTGAGGTAACTTACCTCCCTAGGAAAAAATGCGACTTCGAGTTATAAATGCAAATTTTATGAACAAATAAATAGAAATATTTGAGCAACATTACATTTTATTAATTATTATGAATGAATATTTATAGTAATTGTACAGTTATTACATTTAGTAACATTTATATAATCTGGATAATTGTTCCCCTCACGTTTATTAATCGTCACATTTTTCTCAAAATGATTTGACCGCTCCATTTCACTCACCGGAGGCTCAATATTATCTAACTGATCCATTAAAACAGCATGATGCGACATCCTACTAGAACCAGGAGTTGAAGTGTCATTGTAAAGAATCCTGTTGGCAATTTCATTTTTGTTACTTAAACTGTCAACAACATGTAGCTGATTTCTACCCACCATGTCTCTTGATTGCTAATACATTAACTCTTGTATTAGCTAACGTTGACGATGTTCTTCGGAACGAATGGCCACTATATGTTTTAGGATGTTCTAGTTTCAAAAACTGTGCAATCTTATTAGGAATCATAGAAATGGTATTCTTGCCGACTGGTTGGTTGTAACATCTACCTCCTTGACAGCGCATAAAAAAGCGCGAAATTTCAGTTTTAATTTCCAATCTAATTTTGATATACCTGTATTTTTTGAGAATTTCTAAGTGACAAATAGAACCCATACGAGAATTAATTATAAACGTACGTGACATACCATTTTTAGAATATGGAATTGTAATTACAATAATGTCATGGAAATTTTTGAAATTGATGTTGTCCAAAGTAAGTTTACTTAACTCATCAGAAAGCCATGCTTCTGCAATGCCTAATAGCTGTTTTACATTGACAATTTATTCATGAATAAATTAACGAAATTCTTCATGAATTAATTCACGAATTTATTGGTAAACAGTGTGGTTTTACACTGCTACAGATTTTGTCAAGTTTTTTGAAGTATCAATCAGTTCTACCAATGAATAAAAGAAGCAAATAAATTTCAAAAATGTCACCTTTCCACTCATAATTGTAGTGATACAACAGCGGTACCGTTCTAACACATATTATATAAATATTAGTTTTTGTAAGTAACAAATCAGTAAAAACAATGCAAAACTAGCACGACGCCACACAATTATTTACATATTCCAATAACATAACCTCATTACTGATCTGAGGCTGGAAATCTGTTGGGTTGGTACTTCTGAACTTCACGAAGAAATTGACGAAAATTAGAACATGCTCTAATT